CTGAAACTTCAATTCTGCGCTTTATGACTATGAACGTCGGTAAAAAGAAGCAAGCTTTCAGTGCTCTCCTCGAATAAACACATCATGCCCTATCCCAGAGCCTCCCGAGACGCCATTGAACCAGATCGATTCCCGGGGTAGGTCAAGACGAAAAGAGAACAGATCCAAGGAACCCCTATCACATTCGTCAACATTCTGATCACCCACCGCCAAGACGGTGCAGCTTGTCCATCAGCCACGACTTGACATCACCCTCCTCTTCCATGATGTCCACAACCTCCTCGCTCTCTTGTTCGTCAGTGTCCAAAGACACTCCACCTTCACGCGCGTCCTCGAACGTGTCTTCCTCGGTCTCAAGTCCAGCATCATCAAACGGACCTTGCTTCTCAACCAAAGACGGAGTAGTCTTCCCGCCAATCTCGAGACCACGAAGCATGTCCATAACTTGGGCGTGAGTGAAAATGGTAGGCTCGTCAATGGGAGGCAGGCTATTCATGTTTTCCCCAGGATCCGGTATCTCAAAGCGACCCAAGGCAATCTTTCCGAGGTAGTCAGAGAACATCCAAGGAAAGCTGATAAGTGGTAGAGTATCTGCATTTGTAGCAAGATTTTCATCCACAGGTTCGATGTCCACGAGTAGCTCAGGGCGGCCCGGCGCAAGTGCGGCCTCCAATTCGTCCTGCGTGACGCGGTACATGGCGACCACCAAAGGAGCAATAACCTCAAACGTTCGTCCTCCCACTTTGTCATAGCATTGCTGGCAGAAACCGCTGCGGAGGGTGTGCACGATTCTACCCAGATCTTCGTGGAGTTTATAATCCTTGTGGGCATGTCCGTGGCTGAGCACAAAGGTGGACCAGACCTCGAATTCGGTCTTGATCTCGTACTGTGCCATGATCCTGCGCATGGCCGAGTCGTACTCCTCTTTGAGCTCTCTGGCATATTCCATGAACTGCTCACTGAAGGACACGAGGGAACATTTCAGAATGCGAGAGTCAAAAGGCATTTCGAGACTGGGGACGAACTGGATGAGCTTGACCTTATCGTAGAGTTGACCAAGGATCTTCTTCGAGTGGTAAATCTGCTCCTTGCGCTTGAACCTCTTCTCCATGAAATGCGGCCACATACGGGGACTGAGATCGCGCGTCATATGGGCCGGCCTGCCACTCTTGTTGTAGTCGACTGCGTCCGAGTGAAGCTGGGCAAGCTGGAGGCATTTCTCTTCACACACCCCGTCATCGAGCTGATCAGCCCAGGCCATGTGGGCATGTGCAATCATAGGAAGGTAGTCATGCTTCATGTATGTGACGAAGAAAGACGTGACCTCGTCAACCGTGACGTCGTGGTCGAGGTCAGGGGCTCTGCGGCCTGTATAGTCCATGGGTGGAGTAAACCATGTCTCCGGGACCATGTCCAGATCCCAGATTACAAGGTAGTCATCTCCGTCAAGATCCCCTCCGGAGCACATGCTTGCAACATCCCGGTCGCCAGTCTGCGGTAGTATAACCACATCACGGAGCTCATGGAGCTCAGGTTTGTCCACAGCTCTGACAAGACGAATATCACCGGGGTGAAGTGAGGGATTTCGAGCCAAGAGGCAAATGCCCGTGATTATCTGGGGAGCGCCACCTGGTGGACAGATCTGGACAAAGATCTCAGGGAGTGCTGTCACTTTCTCGTCGTAAGGAGCAGGCTCTGCAGGCAAAGTCTTGTCATAATAGCCTTTCAAACATCCGGTTTCATCCATTATGCCGAGCAAGTTCGCTCCCCGGTCAACGACGATCTTGGCTTTCTCCTTGAGGGATTTCAGATGCCATGCCTTCCACAGTTCCAGAAGCGATGAAATGAAGGGGTCTCGGGCTTTTTTAAAGCCATCGGCAACCATCTGTGCCATGATGAGAGTAGTTTGATTGGGATCAATGTACTTTTGGAGCAAAGAAGCAGCAGTAGCATCGTTGTTCAGGGCATTACTGAAACTCTCCACCATGGCATCTTGCCTAGCATGAAAAACATTGTCAGGGACCCCAAGAGCCGAAAGTACCAGGATCAGTTGCCGGTTCAGCGTTGCGGTAGAGAGTTGAGACAATCGAATGATCTCAAGACCGCCATGACCCGTATCAAATTTGTACTGACTAGGTCGAATATGCACTTCATGGGGTAGAGCATCAGGGGAAATGGCAAGCATTCCCTTGGAACCACCGAGACGGAATTGAAATGCAGAAGGTGGATCGCCTGTTGGTGTCTTGATTTTCAGTTCTGTCATTGCCATCTGCGCAAGGAACTTGGATATTTTACCAACTCCGTCTGAGAATTTGTATCCATGTCGTACAATATCCTGACATCTTCGAACAGTCACAGGGCACCCTGAGATAGGTCGGGTGGTAGAAAAGCATTGTCCCAGTCTGGCAGCATACCTGGCAATGTTTCTGATGGCATGGAACTCGCCCATCCAAGCTCGAATGGTGGCTGCCGTCAAGTCAGATAAGGGAGCAAAGAAGTAGGCCCCATGTTCGCGAAACTGAGAGTTGCCAAACGCTAGGAACTCATAATGGCGATCACCAATTTTGATGCCCTGGGACATGGTCCTCTTGATGCGAGTGAAGATTTCGTCATTGGTATCAAGAACGGTCGAGTTGATGCGACCTTCTGTCTTCTCATCTGTGAAACGAACACGCAGGAATCGATCCGCATGCTCAATGTAGTGACGAACCACCCTGTTTGAAATATCCACAGTAGGAGTGTTGTAGTAAATGGTACTCGGCGTCACTCTGGCAGTGCGCATGTAGCAGCAGTAGGCAGCTATCTTCGAGTCACTCTTTCCTTTGAAGCGCAGGTTGAAGATCTCTGTCGGATTGTAATAAGTGGTTTTCTGTGCTGCAACATGCTCCAGGACGCTCCTAGCAGCAGACTCCTCAAGGTGTGCCAGCTTCACAACAAAATCTCGAGTCATGGTATACTCGTTGAGGTTTCCATTTGACAAACAGACCTCTAGCTGGTACCTCACGGGAAAGGGAAGATGGACGTAGGTTTGATCTGTTAGAGCATGCAACATGTCTGAGAATACTCCAGTGGGCTCAGACTCAGAGTGATCAATCCACTGCCAGACTGACACAGGTCTCTTAGCGCTTTCAGTGAACTGGTGGTCCTTCACTATTGAGACGTTGTAGTCTTTCAGGATCTCACGCGCAGTAAGAAGCTCACCGTCCTTGTCAACGTCATTGGCATACGTGATCTTGAAAACGTTCCAGCCACCTGATTCAGTCATTAGTGATTAGAAAAAAAAAAAGGGGCGCTAAACTAAGACTTACCAATGTCAATTACCTGTCCGGACCTTCGCAGGTTTGTAGGAACAGCACTTTGACCATAGGGATTGTGCACCACAGCAGTCTGACGGTACCAGGTGTCTGCCTCCTTCCAGGTGGTCGCACCGGTGAAAGTGGACCGAAAGTCTTTGAGCTGCCGATGATAGATGGGAGGACTGTTGAGGGTTATCAAGAAGGCAATCTGTTGAGAGTCAGGGTCACAAAGCTCGTGAACTGTAGAGAGCTGGAGGAATGCGAGCTTGATGCGGTAGTCGTGATGTTCGTCAACAATGGCTGTCCGTTCAATGCCCGGGCGTGAATTCCGAATGGAGACCTTGAAAAAGATCTGGAGGTCTCGCCGTCTCAGATTCACAAGGAGTCTGAGTCCCTGTGCTTCACCAAATGTACGCATCCATGATGGAGTAGTCTCACCGACGAGCACGCCGATATCAAGCCTCACAACGTGGAGCTCCTGGATCAGAAGTCAGAGTCTTATATAATGATGAGACTATAAGCTCGGCTTACCAGCTCCGCGGGGTAGGTGATGCCCTTGCGGACGGGGCTGGGAATGAAAGCGTTGATCGCCCGCATGTTGAGCGCAAGCGCGATCATTCCAAGGCGCCCACTAGGCAGTCTGACCATGTACGGCCCATGGCTCCAAAAGTCCACCTTTGGTGGGGGCCTACAGTAAAGTCAGCGAGGTTAGCGCTGGCACAGGCACGTTGTGAGGCGTAGCGCGCTGCGAAGTGAAGTCAATATCAGAAGAATACGAACCTGAAGCGAATCCGCCCCCGCGTGCCCTGGCGGCCATGGGAATCCTCAAAGATGTCGATGGATGAGATCGACCCTTCTCGGCGGAAAGTATCCCAGAGTACGAAAGTATTCGCTTCCTTTGGGACGTTGGAAAGATCAACGGCAACTGATTCCCAGCTCTGCCATGCCACGGTGGGGTGTGGCATGGCAAATCGCTTAGTCGCCATCTTTTGGAGGTATGTGGGGAGAGAACGAATGAATAAAGGTGAAGCAAAAGAGAAAAAGAAGAAGGTAAGAGGGTGGGTGGGAACGAAAACAAAGCAGGAACTGAGAGAGAGAAGGCGCATATAGGTGTCTGCCCGGTTCATTCTCTGTTTGATTCAGTAGTACCTAAACTTTAGCCGGCAGGATAGTGTAAAATTGAGAGACAATCCGTGGCAAACGAAGCGAAATATCAGTGTCGTATTGACCGGTTGTGCCATCTAGCACAGAAGAATTGATAAACTTCGTTACTGTTGGCAGAAGAGGATGCTTCTAGTTCTGTGGTTTAGATATGCGATTAACATTAGTGCAGTACAAACTCTTAAGTAGCGCCTCAAACTTATCTAGTGATCTAGTTAGAAATTCTCTCAGTCACTATCAACAAAAGAGTTGTGATATCAGCTAGATCCGTCCGTTGCCGTCCCTCTCCAATGTGGTACATCCATCCTTACGATACGGATTGGTTGATGGAAACGGTGGTCGTGAAGCGGACGAATTATTTACCAGTTAGTAGACGAGATTCTTCTCCCTTCAGACTTGTTGCCCTTATTCATGCTTCAATTCTCCTAGCGTAATTCCGCCTTATGAAAGTACCGACGCAAGTACACAGGCGTCAACAACAGCAACTGGCAAGTAGTAATAAAAGAAAAAGCAATGGCTCCTTGTATCATCCATTCCATCCAATCACGGAGCCAAGGGCTCATTATTCGACCCGGAAAAAGCAGTGCTCGTGAACACAAAGTCCCTCGAAAACTCTAGATCCATACCTAAACTGAGATTACGAAGCTGATGTTCATCCGAGTTGTCTTCTTCAACCTGTGCCTCTTCATAGACTGTAGGTACATCTTCTTGATCTTGCCGGCTATGTTTTGGTGCATAGCCTGCCAGTGACTTGGTTGGACTGTTGCGGTCTGCTTCCATAAGAGGTTTCCGTCTTGCTTGGTGTGGACCTGAGGCTTCGGGATTCTTTGACTTGGGTTCTTTGGGTGTAGGCTGGTGAGCAGGTGGAGGAGCGTGACAATCGGGTGGATGAATTGAGCGACGGTTGCTCTTTGGTCGTTTCGGACTGGGGGCGCCGAGGTTTGAGGCGAGGGACTCAAATGATTGAGCTAGCTGTGTGTCCTCATCGTCATAACTGATTGCTTGTTGGGTGGGTGTTGTGTCGGTGTTATCAGGGACAGGATTCACATGCTTTTGCTTGCTGTGACCTTTGTGCTCCGTGGATTTGGTGGCAAAACCCATGACGCCCATCAGACGACTGATGTGCTGCTGAGCCTCTGAAAACTCTCGGGCTTTGGCAGCTCTTTCGTTGCGAAGGGATTGAATCTGAAAGAGGAATGGTTAGTGTCACAAAACAAACAGAGCCGGCTGTGTTTCGTTTACCTTCTTCTCCAAATACTGGATGCGTTTGTTCTGGGATTGTGCTTCCTTTGCAGAATCGGCGACGGCAGCCTGCAGGCGCTGATTCTCCTCTTTGTGGCGGGTAATCTCAGACACAGTCTGGGAGATTTCAGCCTTGTGGCTCTGCTTCAACATATCGATTTCCGATCCCAACTTCTCTTCAGCTTCTTGCATTGCACAATAAAGCCTCTCGATATCCACACTCTGCTCGTCCACCTACCGCAAGCGTCAGTAAAGGATTGATTGTCTCAAAGACAACAAACTCACAGTTGATTTCAGAGCCCCCATTTCCATCTGCATATCCTCCTTGTCAGTCAGGAGACGCTTCACCTCGTCTTCCTTCTGCACAGAAAGAAGCCTGCTAGACTCAACAAGGGCTTGAGCATTCGCAAGATCCTGCCGTATAGAAGCCGAGGCTTCCATAGCAAAGTCCTTCTCTTTTGACAGTGTATCCAAGGTCTGCAGCATCTGCTGCTCTTTGGCTTGCAGAGAGCCAAGCTCCTCACGAATCTCATCAATCTGATCGTCTTTCTCAGTCGACGTAGCAATCAGATCCAACTCTCTGCTGCGCACTTTATCCATTTCTGCCCGCATTCTCTCCTCAAAGGCCTGTCGTTGCTCCTCGAGGTCGTGTCGTGCAGCATCAAGAGATGCAGACAACTCTTCTGCTCGAGCAGAGGCGTTTTCAGCGTGTTCTTCAAGACAGGATAGTTCGTGCCGAAGAGCGGAGACCGTATTTGACGACTCATGTAAGCGAACTTCTAATTCTTCATTATGTTGTTTCAGTCTATTAGCTTCGTGGGTGGCGCTGTCCCGTTCTTCTTCAACAGCCCTCAGAGGGCCTTCGACATTGTAGCATCGCTGCTCAAGGTCTCTGCAGATGTCTTCAACTTTCTTTATCATGCAATCATGAGAAGTCTGCGCATTTTGCATGAAGACCTCAGTGATGCCACAACGCCAGTTGCGATTTAGACCGTGGCCGGTCGAGAAATCATGTCTATCTTGAACTGCGAAAGAGACACGGAAGTCATTTGAACTCGCTGCAGAAAATCCACACGTGCTTCCAGGCAGCGATCCGGCCACTCGGTCCACAAAACTCTTCATGGTCTTGATCATCGTTTTATTACCATCATGTCGTGCAAGAGCGGCTGCAGAGTAGAAATCGAACAAGTTGAGAACCAACCGATCATGCGATATGTTGAGGACGCTGAAGCAGGTGTCTGTACCGCTGCAGTCTGTTTGGATTGATTGTGCGGGAAAGCTTTCAAAGAGTTTACCAATAGAGTCTTTGCCAAAGGCGAAGATCAAGGTCTGGATAGCCGAAAGTGCTGGCTGTGACTGTACTTCTTGCAACCCACAGAGAATCAAACCGGCCACCTTGAGGGACGATAGCGCCTCTTGCGCTGGCGACCCAGTATGCTTCAATGCAGAAAGGATGGAGTTTACGAGCTCGCGAACAGCAGGTTCCCCAGATTCCTGGCAAGTCAGCAAGTTGCTCTAAATGGACGCAGCATATACTTACTGCTAATGTTCTCGTAAGTCTTCGAACAAGATGTGCAGGCATGATCTTCAACACCTGCGAGCTTTCCGTAGACATCAAAGTCCGCAGAGCTATGCCATGAATCTGTTGCGGCAGCTCGGATAGAGGAAGCAGGGATAACAAGAATGTAGCACCCTGCAATAGATCCTCAGTCAGCTTGGCCGGATAAAGTAATCGAGCGACCATACCATGATTTGAATCTCACGATCAATCCCAGCCCTAACAAGCTTATCACACAACTTCGCAATCTTCGACCGATTTCCCGAAATCCAAGCACTCTTCTGCTCCGGTTCAACAACATCAGCAATACAAATCGCCAATTTAACACTCTCGGCAGCTTTAGCCGGAGTCAAGTTATTGCAACTAGCCGACGACGCAAGGATCACGCGCAAGACCACCAGGTCGAGAGTTTTCAGTCCGCGCTTGGGACCAAAGAAGTGTTTAATGTTGAGCAGCCACGAAGGCGGCTCTGGTCCGTGTTGAGAGTGTTGATTTGTTTGCCCGGCTGATGCGATGCGGGCGAATGTTGCGAGACACAGGAGATTGCCCATGTGGTCGTCGAGATTGCGGAGGGTTTTGGTGAATTCTGTTTGGAGGCTGGACATTGTATCTGATGAGACGTCATCTAGGACTTTGGAGGAGCCTTGTAATCCGCTCATGATCTTGTAGAGTGGTGTTATTGTCTCTGCGCAAGGGTTGTCGGCAATTGTGGATATCAAATCGCTGATGAATGTGCCCACACGAGCTGGTAGGACCATGTTCTGCGGGAGAGGGGAAGAAAGTAGCGCAATGCATGCTGAGGTATACTGATTTCGTTAGGCATAAGATCCTGCGGTCGGAATATCAAGTCCATTTCCATACCTCTGATCCGCTCTCACCGGCTGCCTTCTCCAGGAACGTGTCTAAAACGACAGGGTGGCGCGCGAGAAAAGCATCCCGAAATACCGGCGACGACACTATCGCAGTTTAGTATTCTTATTTATACGGAAGTAGCCCCAACCTTCTTACCAAAGACCGCAACTAGCGGTAGAGCGACGCGCGACCGCGACAGGCTATCCACCAGAACATCAGCCAGCAGACCGACCTGGCAAGGCTTGTAAGAGGCCCAGAGATCAAGCACGGCAGGAGAGGAATTCTGGACTGCCTCATGAAGTTCCTAGAAATTTGTCTTGTCAGTACTACTCCGTGTCGCGTCTCCGGTGTCGGCTCACATACCTGCAGCGACGGCACATAGGGCGCGGTCACCAGGCGTTCCACCTCGCGCACAAAGTGAGAGAGCTCGTCGGCCATATTTGCGAGCTGTATGGAAGCTTCCGAAATAAATGCGATGCATCAATTGTCGTGTTGGCGCAGTGAGGTCGCAGGGTGAGGTCTGGTTGCCCTGTCAACGGGCTGTGTCACCGATACGCCATTTTCGCGAAATCTCCAAAGTGTCTGCTCTCTAGGTGGGTCAATTACAAGCAAACCATGGCCTTGATATATGGTGCCCAATAATAATTACGAACTATGGATAACTATAAAATTGTTGCGATGCTCTCCGCGGCGTATTACCGCTTTGGGCAACTCATATAAGTAACCCCCACGCTCTTCCCCGGAACCAATAACGCCCGCGTCATCCATCCCACCTGTGTTGGCGGAGTCTAATACGAAATAAGTAAGGGACGCGGGGGATTAACCTGTCCCTGGCCCTGTCTGGCTCTACTTAACCTATCGGCCGAATTCCGACTGTCCTACAAGTACCCGACACCATCACACCATCGGAGCGCTGGTGTCGCAACAGCCTGGACACTTTTCCCTCCTCTTACAAGTGACAGCGATGCCATAGGAATTTATCAATCATTCCTGTCTCTCACCACCTCCACCATGCGTGCATCTCTCCTGGCCTCCCGGCGATTCTCCGCACGCACCCTCCGCCCCCGAACTCCGCAATTTTGGGCATGTGGAAGTCGCTGGAACAGCTCCAGCTCTGCAACGGAGAGCAAGGAACACAACTCGTCCGGCTCACAATCGTCAGCGGGTGCTTCATCGACGTTCTGGACACCTGGTAAGGCGCTCCTCTTCTCCGCATTCGCTGCGGGGCTCGGGTACGGCTTCGCCTCTTTGCAGACACCAGCGAAGAAACAGTCCAAACCGCGGTATGGCTCCGTGCAGGACTTTGAAAAAGTACGAAATCAACATTCTGTTATCTGGTGGAAGGATAAAACTGACAATAGACACTTAGGCCGTTTCCGAGCTGAGAGCCAAACTAAGCGAAGACAGCATCAGCACCGACGAGGATGACCTGCACCGACACGGTTTCTCGGAGTGGTCCAGCATCAACGCAGACCGTCTCCCCGTGGCTATCGCCTACCCAACTACAACAGAAGAAGTGTCCGAGATTGCTAAGGTCTGCCACAAGTACAAAATGCCCATGGTTCCCTACTCGGGAGGATCGAGTCTCGAAGCCAATTTCTCTGCGCCGTACGGCGGGATGACCATCGACTTTGCGATGATGAACCAGATATTAGAAATGCATGAGGCGGACATGGATGTCGTGGTGCAGCCATCGATCCAGTGGATGGAGCTGAATGACAAGATCAAAGACACTGGTCTCTTCTTCCCCGTGGACCCCGGTCCGTCGGCGATGATTGGCGGTATGGTTGGCACAAACTGCAGCGGTACGAATGCGGTGCGGTATGGAACTATGAAGGATTGGGTGATCAACCTCACGGTTGTGTTGGCCGATGGCCAGATCATCAAAACCCGTCGCCGGCCACGGAAGACCTCCGCGGGGTACAATTTGACGGGAATGTTTATCGGCTCGGAAGGGACGCTGGGTATCGTCACGGAGGCGACCCTAAAACTCACCAATATCCCAGAGGAGACCCGTGTGGGCGTGGTGTCCTTCCCCACAATTCGCGACGCGGCGTCTACGGCGATGCAGCTAATCCGGAAGGGCATCCACGTGCAATGCATGGAGCTCATGGATGACGTCCAGATGGATGTGATTAACCGAGCCGGTGGAACGGGGCGACAGTGGAAAGTCTCACCCACGTTGTTCTTTAAGTTCTCGGGCACGAAGGCAGGCGTCGCGGACAGTGTTGATCTGACTACGAAGCTGGCCAAAAACAACAAGGCCCAGTCCTTCGAGTTTGCTCGAGACGAGAAGGAGGCTCATGATCTATGGTCCGCAAGAAAACAAGCGCTTTGGGCCATGCTGGCTCTGTGCAAGGAGGGCTCGGACGTATGGTCGACCGATGTGGCCGTGCCCTTGTCTCGTCTGCCTGATATTATTGGTATGCTCCCCCGCCTTGTGACCTTTATATATAACGCTGATGAACTGTGATAGAAATTTCTAAGAAGGAACTTTCCGATCTTGGAATCTTCACCAGTATTCTGGGACATATTGGCGATGGCAATTTCCACGCGAGCATCATGTATGACCGACAGAAACCGGAGGAGAGAGCCAAGGTTGAGAAAGTGGTGTATGACATGGTCGACCGGGCTCTTGAAATGGAGGGATCCTGCACGGTATGTACCCTGCACTTTTAAAGAGACAGGACTAACTTCGGTTTTCAGGGTGAACATGGAGTCGGGCTGGGCAAAAAGTCGTCATTGAAGAAGGAACTGGGGCCGGAGACGATCGATGTGATGCGCAGTGTCAAGCGGTCTCTGGATCCACACTGGTTGTTGAATCCTGGCAAAATCTTCGAGGCGGAAGATTCGTAGATCCCGTGTATAGTTACAAATCAATCCTACAAACTCCGTGGTAGAAATACCATCCAATCCCGACACAATTTGAGTATATACAAAAGTTCGGCCAAATGTTTTGCCGTGGATGAGTCAGCTCTCAGTCACCGCGGGGAGTTTGGAGCGATATCGCAGGGCAACTTTTTGAAGACATCGCCACATTCATTCCAGTTGACCCTCCGGCCCAGATACGCAGGTAAGTGCCATTGGTGTTGCCGACATGCCTTTTCATACTGCCCCTTGCTTTTTGAATCCCCATTTCCCCCCAAAAGTTGAGCTGCGACTGCCGCACCTGTTTGCGGGGCTCGTCGCATGCTGATGACTCAACCCATACTGTTTGAACCCGTTTATTCCGGGCAAATTGAGTGCTAATTGGAAAAAGATAGATATCCGTCTTTGCACTGACACGTATAGAGTCTACACGCATCATGGCTCCCTCATTCGCCAAGAAGAAGTGCGGTATGCCATACTCCGAGCTCGGCCTTGAGATCTCATGCCATATACTAAACGCCGACCTACAGGTATCCTGGGCGCCACAGGCTCCGTCGGCCAGCGGTTTATCCTCCTCCTCGCAGACCACCCGTTCCTTGAACTCGAGGCCATTGGCGCCTCTGAGCGCTCCGCCGGCAAGAAATACAAAGATGCCGTGAAATGGAAGCAGGCAATGCCCATGTCCGAGAAGCTCAGCAACCTCGTCCTGCGCGACTGCAAGGCGGAGCACTTCAAGGACTGCGACCTGGTTTTCTCGGGTCTGAACAGCGATGTCGCTGGCGACACCGGTTCGTGACTTACCCTGTTCCCAGACTGGAGTACAGTGCTTACCCTCTGTAGAGATGGAATTCATCAAGGCGGAAATCCCGGTCTTCTCAAACGCAAAGAACTACCGCAAGCACCCCATCGTGCCCCTGGTGGTCCCGACCGTGAACCCGCAACACCTGGACCTGATCCCCCACCAGCGCAAGCACTTCGGTCTGAAGAAAGGATTCCTGGTCTGCAACTCCAACTGTGCCGTTATTGGAATCGTCATCCCCTTCGCCGCCCTGCAGGCCAAGTTCGGCCCTGTCGAGGAAGTTGAGGTGTTCACCGAGCAGGCCGTCTCCGGTGCTGGCTACCCCGGTGTGCCCAGCATGGACATTGTGGATAACGTGATCCCCTTTATCAGCGGTGAGGAGGACAAGCTGGAGAACGAAGCGCAGAAGATTCTGGGTTCATTGAACGCCGACGCGACTGCCTTCGACGAGCAGACCGGTCTTCGCATCGGGGCCACGTGCACCCGTGTTGGTGTGACCGACGGCCATATGGCGTTTGTGTCGTTGCGCTTCAAGAACCGACCGGCACCGAGCGCAGAACAGGTTGTGCAGGCCATGCGCGAGTACCAGTCCGAGGCTCAGAAGTTGGGTGCCCCGTCGGCTCCGGAGCCGGCTATCAAGGTCTTTGATGAGCCCGACCGTCCTCAGCCCCGTCTGGACCGTGACCTCTCCGGTGGATACACGGTCAGCGTGGGCCGAGTGCGCGAAGGCAATGAGGGCGGCTACTTTGACATCCGCTTTGCGGCCCTGTCCCACAACACAGTCATTGGCGCTGCTGGGTCGTCCATCCTCAACGCGGAGGTGGCGGTCATCAAGGGATACATTTAAATATTGTAGATAAAAGTCGATTACTAGCGAAGAACATATTATATCAAAAAGATTTCTCAGAGTTTACTGGGGTTTTTCCTATACTTTTGCCCTACAATGTCCCAAACAGGAAATTAGATTATGTAATATAGACTAACCACATTCAGACAGGGCTAGGGCTCATCCGCGTCACCTGCGCACCACACGAAAATCCCCGTTTCTCTTCTTGGTTTTCCTTCTTGCATCACGACACTTCGACAATTCACCAACCGTCGATAATCCGTCAAAATGGGCCGTGGACCGTAAGTGCCTCGAACATTTCCACCCTCACAACCATTCCCTTGACTCTTATCTCCCAATTCCCCCTCGCTTTCGGAATTCTGGATCTCAAAACTGACTGAAATGCTTCGATAGTAAGAAGCACCAAAAGCGCCTTAGTGCGCCCTCGCACTGGCTCCTGGACAAGATGTCCGGGACCTACGCGCCCAAGGCCTCCCCCGGTCCTCACAAGCTCCGGGACTGCCTGCCCCTGATCGTCTTCATTCGCAACCGGTACGCCGACCGACAAACTTTTTTTGTGAAGTGGGAGACTGATAGATTTTTTTGTGTATAGTCTGAAGTACGCTCTCAACGGTCGCGAGGTCAAGGCCATCATGATGCAGCGCCTGGTCAAGGTTGACGGCAAGGTCCGCACTGACACCACCTTCCCTGCCGGCTTCATGGACGTCATCTCCCTCGAGAAGACCGGCGAGCACTTCCGCCTGATCTACGACACCAAGGGCCGTTTCACCGTCCACCGTATCCAGGCCGAGGAGGCCGAGTTCAAGCTGTGCAAGGTCAAGCGTGTTCAGCTTGGCAAGGGCGGGATCCCATTCTTGGTTACGCACGATGCGCGAACGTGAGTTGCATGCTCTCCACAAGTTCCGCGTCATTCAGTCGTTGGACCAAGCTTTGGTTGATCGGCGTGGAGGACGAACAGAACTTTTCGTGAGATCCCCAAATGTCCGAACAGGCCATACTAATGTTTGATTTCTAGCATCCGTTACCCTGACCCTGCCATCAAGGTCAACGACACCGTCAAGGTTGACATTGCCACCGGCAAGATCTCCGACTTCGTCCGCTTCGACAGCGGTGTTGTCTGCATGGTCACTGGTGGTCGTAACATGGGTCGTGTTGGTGTCGTCACCCACCGTGAGCGCCACGATGGTGGTTTCAACGTCGTCCACGTCAAGGATGCCATTGACAACACCTTCGCTACCCGGGAGTCCAACGTCTTCGTCATCGGACAGGAGAAGCCCTGGGTCTCCCTGCCCAAGGGCAAGGGTGTCAAGGTATGTTTTCTACTGTTGATTTACTCTACATTCAGCAACTAACTCTGTCAATAGCTCTCCATCTCTGAGGAGCGTGACCGCCGCCGTGCCCAGACTATTGCCCAGTAAATGTCTTCTGACATGGCATGGGTAGTAGGAGTAGGTGTGCCGGCCATTTCCCGTCTCTGGGAATGACCCTCCAAAAAAAGTGAAACTAAAAAAACAGTAGCTGGGAAACGGCGTCTTGTCTTGCTTGATGGGCTTGGACGATGTTTTCGTTCCGTAGATTCGATCCATAGCAAACAATTTGGGACGGGCTAACCGTCTCGTTTCCGAGTGATATGATACCTATTTTAACGTTGTTCGAATGATTTGATGAGCGTATTGGTCCTGGTTCTTCTGCCTCTGCCCTTGAAGTTCTCTTAATTCTCACTTGCGTGAAGGTGGTGCTATCCGTGCCCTCTTCGCCGAGAACCAGGATGCGTAGTATCAGTCTGACTGCATCGAGAGTGTCTACACGCCGGCAAACAATCTCCAGACAATTATTCTATCTCGTGCTATCTGGATGCCAGCTGAATCCCATGACCCCGGCTTTCAGCTATCCAGTGTCCTCGGTGCCAATTAGTTCCCGTTCCCCGCCCCGGACCTCATACGGAACGGGGTACGCGGAGTTCATACAACATGGGCTGGCAGACCGACATATAAAATTATTGTCTTTTACTCAGAAAACTCTAGGTCGCTACGAACTGACATAGTTCGCTCTAGGTTCGATTCCCTGGGGAATAACTCACGGTCGATCAGAAGCTCATTAGCTCCGACAACCAATCTACGTGGATGATGGCTGCTCACATGGACGCTATGCTGCTATGAGCATGGACAGAAGCCAAACTAATGCAACGCACCGTCACAAGATTTGCCCGAGTGGGGAGCTCATTCGCACCTCACGCAGGGATTGCTCGCGTTCGTCCGAGGCAGTCCCTCCGCCTAAGTTGAAGGGGAGAGAAAAGGACGAAGAGCTCGGGGGCGGGAAAAAAAAAAAAAGTGCGAGCACGCATGCCAGAGGAGAAAAATACAAATACCTCAGGCACGCAGTGCAAATCACCAATGGCCCGCAACAAGAGTTGGTCGGCGGACGCCTGCTCGATCCCCGATCTCGCGAATCGGACACGTCCGGCTAGTTACTCCCCGATTCGCGATAGGCAGAGTGGATTGAGTTTCAATAGGAACCCCCCTTTTCTTGACCGGAAGGATGACGATAGACGGGGAATTTCTGCCATTATTATTGATCCGATGGTCGACAGGATGGTTCTCTACGGGGTAGATCTGATCAATCAACGAACTCGCTGGCTCGCACGTCCGGGCTGGGCCGTCCCACGGTCCAGGCCCCCACCAGGAAAATCCACGAGCCATTCCCATTCTGCTGGGTTGGCGTTATGCACACGCAGCGGCGCCGCAACTACTGTGGTGCATGTGCTTTCCCTTAGATCGGAGATGCAACCTGCAACTGCACCGCTCTATGTACCTAGTGCGGAGGGAGGCACATTTTATAATTATCTGATCAGAAGCTGGAGGAGTGGGGTGGGCTAAACGTGCAAAAGCCGGGTCGGGACTTGTGGCTGCAGAGAGGCTACACAGCGCGACGCATCACCCTGCAGCTAGTATGGATTATCCTTATCCTGGTTCTGCAGCAGGGCGCGCTTGCAGGCTATCTTCTCAAATCGAGTCAACGGTCAATAAGTACCCATTGGTTCATCTGAATTGGATATCTGAATTGGCTATCCGAATTGTGTTGTGACTGCAATTGCCAGTCTTGCATGCCACTCTCTATTTCACAGCCGAGGTCCACGGGCAGGGGCAACAATGCTACGTATGAACCTACCAAGAAGGATACTGTGCCGATAGACTGAAATGACTTCCATATTGTAGTTAGGTCCCAGAATGGGTCGATCAGAGTTTAGATCTGTGGATCCGGCACTTGCAAATTTTATCTCTAATTGCCTGGAGCTGAGATATTTTGGCGGCATATGCTCAAATGCCGATATAATAGTTAACATTCTAACAGGTCACCTTACCATGTAGATGTCGCTCCAGATTGTCGGTCATATGCAAAAGGAAAACGCCCAATGCTAACGCCGCAACCTATCTCGGATAATCCTATTAGGAACAAATCATAACTTGCCTCGAATATCCTGATGGTAAGGCTGATTTGGAGACCTCTGGATACACATAAGCGATACAGAGTATGTATAAGCCACAGGAGACCACTGTCGGATTACGATGTTTATCAATTTTAACTCCGATTCAGAGCTGTGGTAGTCTCCTGATTCATATTTTAGGAGATCTGCGTCTCGTATTATAGGCCATTCAATTCGGCGACTTTACGGGTTAGAGTTCAGGGCAGAGAGTTTACTTGGTTACTGGACTTCGTTCTCCATGATCTGATTTGATTAGTCTTCAGCGGTCAAGGATTTTAGTCTTTCCATCTCCTTCGTTTTAACAGACCGCAAGATCTTCCTCCCGATACCGCCGTCACTATTGGTTCATCGAAATGAACGGACTTCCTGCCCCGGCCATCACCGCCAACTCCTTAGAGATCAGCAGCCCCCAGCCCAGATTAAACCAAAGGAATGAGTGGTCCGCTGTTATGTGGCGCCTTTCCAAACCAAAATTTCTTGGTCAGTCCGGACTTTGATCGATCCTCATCACCGCAGGCTGGATTTGGATTCCACCATGATCGCCCGGCCCCCGCCTCTTCCCGACAAGTTACTACTAGTGGGCGCGCTAACGAAGGTGGGTGCAGTGGATACAATGATGAGCTTCTTCGGCTTGGAACTATTGGGGTTGCTTGTACGAAAAGAGAGGTGGCAGGGGCACATCGGTCGGGTGTCACGATTGGCACTTATACAGTAAACTTGTAGCCTGCTGCTAAACATGTCCTACTATTCCCCAGGAAGCTCTCTACAAACTAGACTGCTATCCGAAGGATTGCCGGGTTTGACCGACTTCTTCGGAGCGCAGACCCGAGCAGTGCCATGGAGCTTCCGGAATTCCTTCAGGTCGAACTAGGGTTATTTTCTTTGACCGCTCCTCCGACGGATTGACGGGCGTACGGCCACTCGTAGAAACTGTCATATTAGCAACCGGCCAAAAGGATGCAGCCCAGCCGGTATTTTGTAGTGGCGAGGCCGAATCGCGAACTTTCCACAGGCATCTTTCGGTGGAGCCGAGCAACCCTGCTCTCTCTCTCTTTCGGTCTCTACCCCGATTTGGAGGATAATCCTTGCCCCCTTTTCTCCAGCGACTTGGCCAGGATACCGGGACACCCAGCAGAGCGGAACCTTAGGATTGGCGCTCTGTCCCGTTTTTAATGCGCCCAGTCCATCTGGCGTCGAAGGCGACTCCCCTCGTGATGTGTCCAACGTGGCGTTGTAACTATACTAAAAGGGGCCTTGCCTCTCTTTTCTTCTACTCACAATCTCCAATCACTCCATTCCGGATTTCCGAAGGGCTTGCTCCTTTCCATTGCTCTTGCCTTCTTCCACACCCTCATCCACATAATTTGTACACACTGTGATACTCACAGCTACCCTGACACTTCCCCTCCCCGGGTCTATGGTAATTTCTATCGAACGGCGCCGCGTCACATGGGCATAAGCGTGAATTCTTTCAACCACCAATGCGTTGTTATCTATGAGCCCACGGGATTCAGTGGTGGTTGTGGCTGTCGATATAAATGCAATCGAACGATCCTAACGAGGAATCGGTCTTCGAACCGCCTCCCAAGTGGAGATCCGTGATGCGGCAGCAGAATTCATCGTCTGAGATGGCCGCCGCAGCCCGTTCCGACTACCTGTCGATCTTCACGTTCGTCGCGGAGATTCCTCGCTTCTTCGTCTCGTATCGCTGGTGGGAAGACGAGGCAACCACCGTGCTGTGGGCATTCAATATCCAAGAGATCAGCCATGTGATTCGCTACGGCCTCTTTCGCGATGAGAGCCTTCCCCGAAGCTCGTTGTTAAGTCGCAATGCAGACACAATTGACAACTTCCTCATCGCATTGTCACAGCCGCGAGAGCACCAGTTTCTCGCCAATCTCTCGCACTTGCAGCGTGTCGAGGAAATTTTGCGCCGCGCGAGTATTACGCCCACTAAGTTAGCCCCTTGGTCCTGGTCGCCGCCGCCTCCTGGACATTCGCTCGACGCGTGCGCAGTCGCAGCGGCTATTGAAGCCGAGAGTCATCTTCATTTTACGCAGATTGCCTTCGAGGAGATTGTGCGTGCCTCTCTTGGGTACGAAGCGGGTTCTATTGAATGGTTCTTGTTACAGCATACGGCTCTTCATATTCACCTTCTGGATCATCTCCGCATCTACCCAGAAGAAATTCCTCTTTATCTAGAAGTAGAAAAGGTCGGTTTTGTTTTGTTGAGACCTCAGATTCGACTGAATACTGACCGATTTCTTTCCTAGCAACTGCGCACCCGGAGTCCATTTGCCCATCGGGCTGTGGTTCAAAGTATAATCACGGTTCAACCAAGGAGAGACCGCGAGGTGCTTCGCTCGAGCGACCCCGGATTTGAATTCATTTCAGGGCCGATCCAGACTCTATTCAGAGATCAGCCTCCTAGTTTAACGACTATCCTCAAGGTGTTTACTGTTCTAGCGGTCCGCTTCCAGCGGCAATACGTCCATACTACGGGGATGAACTGGAAGGTCCCATTCGATACCTCGATTTCCTTTCTGGAATACTGTCTTACTTCTACGACGGCAGGCGACCTAGCTCACACTCTAACAAGTACTGACGAGGTCGACTTTGCGGGCTTATCGCGAACGAACCTAGTTGCAGAGGATGCAGTGGTGAAGCAGCTCCTAGCGAATTGGCGTACTCTGAGTGCCTCAGTGTGGGAATGCTGCTCCGCGCTGCCCGATCTGATTCCACATTTGCAAGATTGTGCACAGGTGAGCTTTTTTTTTTTTTTCTCCAATCTTCAGCCACCATATTCGAAATTGGCAATTGCTCAAACTTAGCGTGTCTCCGCGCCCTCCCACAGAATCTCTATACTACGCGCAACTATCACTCCCTGACCGCCCTTCTCGATGGACTCCACAAATACAGTATCTCTACTGCACGAGCTCGGAATACCGGTTCGATGGTCGCCCTGGACCCTTGTATTCCACCCACCTTACTTTTTCTCTTCAATCCTTCCCAAAACCATTCGGCGTACCGACAGCATTACCACGAATCCCCTGGCATTCCATTCCTCCTCCCGCATATTCGCGACTACAAACAGAATGGCGAGTCCGTCTTACAGCCGCTTCTCCAATATCTGCAACGCTCTCTTTCTTTCAAACGGTGATCTGATTCCCTATCTATTCTTTTTCGCCGGAGTAAGTCACAGTCTCGTGTTTGGCTTGCGTGGCTGCAGGTCACACTTCACTTCACCGGTGTGTATGCGGCTCGAATGCTTCTTTTTTTGTCTTGGCTTCCTTGAGGGCCGTCAGTCCATCAAGTACTGTGCATTGCGTGGAAAGCATGTCTGGTTTATACCCTATTTCTCCTTCGGCACTGCCCACTTGTACGTCTACTCTGCATTCTTTAGTATTGACAGCGCGGGTTGGGGGGCGAAGGAGTCCGGCGTTGGCGACCCACAAGTTATAAGATTGTCTGTTATATCCAAAGACCAAAAAATAAAAATAAAAATAAGAATTCAAGAAGAACAATCATCCAGAAAGACGTAATCGGGCAGCAAGCGGTGGTTGAATAGGTCACTCGCAAATGAGATCAACTCCCAGCTCCGACTAGGCTCACTTATATGCAATGCAGCAAGGGCCAAAAAAAGATAAAAAAAAATAGTAAGAATAAATACACACACACCACTCCAGCCCCCTAAAAAAGGAGAGCCTGTCGGAACAGTTCATACACAAACTGACCTCCACCAACCAGAAAAGCATCTCAGGCCTTCTTCCCAACCGCCCTAGGCGCCCTCGTAGGACCGAACATACCACATAGATAGGCGATCCTATTGACGAAGAGAAACCCGGTGACTCCGATATTGCCCCACGTCAGCGCATTCCACGCAGCAACGTCCACAAACGCCTCCCAGCCCATCGCCAGGTATGTAGCGTAGACATGGCCAATGTCCGCGATAGCCAGCGCGATAGCATAATTCCGCAGCACGCGGGGTTCGTTGGTGCTGTACATCACGGCCACGCCGACCAGGAAGAGCAGCGAGTACAGGTTGCCGAGTTGGTAGGCCAGCGCCATGCTGCTGGGATGGAAGACTGGAGGTGTCGCGGCTTTCGGAGTTTGGCCCGCAATGAAGCCTTCAAGGTCTTGGAGGGGGTATAAGCTGCCGAGGGCTCTGCATGTTGGGCGTTAGGGATGTATGGGTACACGCGTTATCAGGAGAGGGTCGCGTACAGCGAGATGGGCTCGAGCACCCCGAATAGGATGTTTGGCCATGGCGGAAAGAGTGTGCCCATTATGATACGTGTATAACGGATAGATATGGGTGCTTTCGTCTGATTGTTCGGGTATTCGTGTCCAGTAAGAGGTGGATTGAGAGTTGGGGTTAGTTCTGGGACTTGGCGGACAAGCTGGAGCTTCGGGGAAGCGAGCCTAAAGCCGCAGCAACAGCAGATTATAAAAATAAAAATAAGAATAAAAGATAGAATAACGGTGTACAAGGGTAGTAGGATAGTTCTAATATTTATTAGTCCAGGAAGATAAAATCCAACCGTCCCATAGTTTAAGTGTTCTCTGTGTGACGTAGAGTACTGCCTGAGTGGTCGTCGTCGTCGCCCGTAGTTATCGACCGTTATCGCTGCCCCGACTTGCATTCTTTCCCATCGACAGCCATGAACGCGATGCCCTGGCGTCTCTGCGATTCATCTGCCCACGATTCTCCCGATGTCCTGTGATGGATGCTGGCGGCGTCTTTAGGTCCCTGGATGAGTCGCTGCTCCGCGACCTCCCACAACTCCAGTCGTTACGGATCGCACCGCTGCGTGAGCCCGTATCTTCACGGACCCTAAGTGCCCCTTCGCCTCTGGAACCCAATGCCAGTGGGGCCCGAGATTCGAAGATCTCCAAGACCAGCACTTCTCCCAACAATGCTCCTGCAAAAGCCAAGCCCAATGCAAGCCTTCCTACGGTGACGGAGTTCCTCAATGCTGCTCGATCTAACAAGACCGACTCCTCTGCGGACTCGCAGTCAAACGTGGAGCCGCCCCCAAGGCCGATTCTGCCGGCTTTTGTAAACCTTCGAGCTCTGGAAAGGGTTCCGTTTTCTTCTTCGTTCGACGATGACGCTCTCCATGGACCTCGCAAGCGTCGCCGCCTAGATATCCAGGCAGAATCATTTAGCGAACACCTGCAACTGCCGATACCTCAGGCACAGAAGGAACAACGGCCGCCACCCTTTGGACCCTTTGCTATTCTTAATGGACTTAACGAACCCCCGCCCAACGCTGCTCTTCTACCGCCTATCGAGGCAGGGTCTCTCACTCAGCTCCTTACGAAACCCTCCCGGGTAGATGAGGCTCTTGAGTCTGGGACCTTACAAACTTCTAATGCAAACGTTGTCAACAGTCAACCTTCAGAACGGAGAGAAGCGAGACTCGAGGAGATCCTTGGTGTCACTCTTGACGACAAAGATCTTCTCGGAGGTAATGAAGACGACGGCCAGGGCGATGATGACGTGGAGCGTCCCAAGGCAGTGGAGCATGTGAATGACCCAACTCCAACGAAACATGAGAAAAGTCAGTTCGGAGATGGCAAGGAGTCACCGGTGCCCACAGAAGAAGGAAATGAACCCATGTCACCCAAGACCCGAGGCCGGTCCCGCTTGAATGTACGGCGATGGACTGAAGAAGAAACAACTGCCCTACTTCGCGGCGTCGTCAAGTGCGGCATTGGAAATTGGAAGACAATACTTGCGCAGCCTGAACTCAACTTCAACAAGCGAACCGCTTCCAATCTGAAGGACAGATTCCGCGTTTGCTATCCTTGGGCATACCGGGCTGCCAATCCCAATGAAGCAATCAAGCAGCTTCACACCGTGCTCTCCAACTCCCTTATGAAAGCGGATGGGGAGGGCCGTGAAAATACACCTTTCAAGCTTCGCCCTCTACAACCGCGACGAACTACTACCACAGGGTCAGAGTCAACGAACTCCGGCGCGGGAAGCCCACCTGCCCTATCTATCGGGCCATCAACGTCGAGTGTGTCCTCCACACCCGACACGGACACCCCGAGTAGCAGTGGCAGCATTCAACCACGAACACCACCCTCGGCTAGATCCACTACTACACTCTCAAACCAGCCACGATCTGCCCTCTCGTCTCTCGGCATCCCCGAACCTCATGTTACCACGAAACCCAAGCGTCGCTTTCGCCGGCCCTTCACTCCCGCCGAGGATGAGGCCCTTCTGAAAGGTTACGCTGTTCATGGCTTCCAGTGGACTCTCATCCAACGGGACTCCCGCCTGAACCTCGGCCATCGCAGACCAGCAGATCTCCGTGACCGGTTCCGCACCAAGTTTCCGCATGCCTACAAAGACGGAGGATCTGTCAGCGGCAACGCTTTACACACCCAAGCTTCTGGCCAGGACTTATCTACCTCTGTGAAGACCACACCCACGCCGCGAGATCAAGCGGCTAATAATAACGAACAGAGCCCGCTCAGGGCTGCAGCAGCCTCCCTGCCGCGTGCTGCTCGCCCGAAACCTCGCCATAGCCCCAGCGGCTCGCTGTCTAACCTCGGCCCTGTCGATTCGTCTCTCTTACTGCCTGTACCAGCCCAAGGCTTTCTTGAACCTTCTGCCTCCTCAGCTCCGGCGTCGGCTGGTATTCTTTCATTCTCTTTGGATGAGAATCCTACTGCGGGTACTTCCTCTGGGGCCGACACCCCGTGGGGGCATAATACTCTTGCCCCAATGGTTTGGGATGATCTGAACTGATCCAAAAAGGGGGCATTTACTGTTTGGATCTACTTCCCGGAAACGAAAAAGGGATCTTCTGCAGTTCATTTTCTTATTGCATTCCAGGCGTTGGATTTTCGGTTCACTGATTGTTTACTTTCGGGTTTTTGTTTATTGTCATGATGGATGCTCTCTTTTACCTCGATCGATATCCCGCAGTACACGATGGCTCTGAATCTTTTCCAGTTACGTTCTTATACTTCCTTCCCATAATCGTAGATGGATCAGTAACCCGGAAACCCGCCTCCCAATGACACGCACAGAGTATAATGTCAATTCCAATACTCGAGAGACGAGAAGACGAAAAAAGGGCGAAATGAGATTCAGCAGTAGACCGAGTCGCTCCCACTATGCACTAGGACGGCGAAAAGACACGATATGAGATCCAAATGACAGAACAAAGGTAAATTGCTTGCTCGCAAGAAAGGGATATAAAACAAAAAGAAACGCCCATTCATAGGAAAAAAAGGATATCGACGGAAGCTGCGGAAACAAATGGGAGGAGCAGTAACGTACAGGCTCTGGCCACCACCAGAGAAGACCGTGAAAGTGGAAGGAAGAGAGAGAGGGAAGGAAATGGGGAGACAGGAATTGAAAATATACACGGCAGACTTTTAGCATGCCATGCCATGCTGACTGTGACGAACGATAGTTTCAAAGAACCCCGGAGCTCTACCACGCATTCCGGTCCCAGTTCGGATCTGTACGGAACGGTCAGCGGTGATCCAGTATAGGGTGTCAAAGCTGTAAGAGAGGCATATGCAAAGGTCAAAAAAAAAAAAAGAGAATATCTCACCCTGTATGAAACTCGCCAAAACCTTACTCCCCGTCTGCAAAAGCGGGTGTCCCGCAACAATCTGCAAGAAACGCTGCAACCCCTCCCGGCGGTGCTCGATGACATCGTCACTGAATCGATTGGTGAATACCTTCCCGGGGAGCGGCGGGATGGTGACGCGCGTGCTCTCGCGCTCCAGGATGTCGCGGAAGTACTCAAAGTCCGAGTAGCGGCGGCGCACGATGGAGTGTTTCAGCTTGAAGGCTGGGATGTTGGTTTTGCAGACGATCTCGTAGGAGGTGTACATGTTGCGAGATGTGCCGTGGGTTTGCGGGTTGACGACCTATTTTTGATGGTATGCTGGTTAGGTTTGGTCCAAATTGTTTTCTGGGGAGGGAGCATATGAGCAGGCGGGGGGGGGGGGGGGGGGTGAGGGGAAGAGATGTTCGGTGGGTGTGGGATTTGGATGTTGGGGATGTCAGAGTTGGTTGGTACTCTGCGCTGGAGTGTATCAATCAATAGCTCACTGCCAGGACTCACCTCGATCTCGAGGAAGTTCTCCGGGGGCCCGTAGATCTCCTCAAAGGTCTGCTGGCGGGACTCCGGGACGTGCTGCATGGTTGCGGGGTGATGGGCTTGCGCCGGTGTCCAGAAAGAGCGAGGAGCAATGTGAACAATGCAGAATAGGAGCTAGAGGCAGTTGAGCGGAAGAGGACTTTGGGGAGAACGTAACGACAGATGAGGAGCGACTGAGCTAGCGTGGAGAAGAAGTGGTTACAGTTAGACTTGGGCTGCTATCGGAGGGACGGCGGGGGATCATTGATCCGGGCCGGGCTTATCGTTATCAGTTAGATTTAAGTTGGCCTACAAGAGAGCATGCACTCACTATTATTCATTATTATTATTATTACAGTGATGACCCTGCCAGAAACATAAGAGGTACTCTTTCAACCACTAATCGCATGATACGAAGTTGAATGGTATGGTTACATATCCTAAGAACGCTCCAGTGAAGATGAAGATCTTAGATATGCCGGTCAATCCCACCGGAAATATCGATAGTTCTGATAGAAGCCCCGCCAGATACCACGACGCCTTGACTGCTCCCCTTGATTTGCAATGACTTGCCGATAGTTCGTCCGCATCAGCCGCCAGCCCAGACGAATGTTTCGAGCATCTAAAGTTTCACGCTGCGCTTGTTGAGCAGCGTACAGTTGTTGGCTGTTCTGCAGGCCTGAGAGGCTCAACGGCACACAATATCGTAGCCGCGAATAGCGTTGAAAGAAAATTCCAACAGAGATTGTCAGGTCTGCTTGACCCTGTCTTTCAGAGCAGTGCTGAATTTTGTTTTATGCTCTGATGATAGCGCTTTGCGCCATTCGAGCATACCCCAACAAACAATAAGAAAAAATGCCACCAGGTTTGCCAGAGCCAGCAGGTCCATTTCAGCTGTTGCTTTTGAATCAAGAGTATCTTCTAGGCGGAAGAAGCTGTATATTTCCTCTTTCAGGGAGAAGTTCAGTGCCAATCCGACGGCGTAGGAGATTAGCATAGTGGCGCGTTCCATGGCAATCGTATAGGCAGCCATCGTATGTAGAACGGCCCATGTTGCGTGTGTGGTGAAATTTCTGGCCCTTGCCGTTTGGACGGTCCGGAGAAGGGTATAAAGATATAAGGGTCCCAGGGCCAGCAGAGTCAGCTCGAAGGTGGGCCAGCCAAGTGGTACGAGTCCAGAGAGATTATGAATGTGCCACATGTCATCATGTGTATGTGCTACCTTCTTACTGAGCATCCAGTATCCAGTGATGCTCAACACCAAGGAGCCGCACAGCACAATGTAGCCATTGTTTCGATGAAATGCGGGCCAGCGTCGACGGATTCTATCGACGTGCTGTAGAGGCATAAGAAGACACCATATGAGAGCTGGAATGGCATGTAGGCTTTGGTAAAGCCATAAAGGGGCAGTCTTGATGCGCCAACTCAGGATATGCTCTCCAGTCTAGGGATGTAAGCAACAAAGTTTCGAAGGAAACGGTCCTTTTTTTAACCTACCGAATGATGCCTTGTGGTGGTGAATATGGGTGAATCCGGTCCCCAAATACTACTCGGAGCACCAGTAAAAGCCATGATTCCTGACAAGATCATCACAATACTCAGTGGAATAAGAACTTTCTGAGAAGCTCGCATCCTTTTTTGATGTAGCATATTTCCTTGTTTTGTGACACGAGATGGGGCATTTGAAAACAACACAGATAGGCTGTGGGCTGCTCAACTTATATTCCTGACAATCTACTTACAAAGTAGGCTAGACCGAGGATACATGTGAAGCGAAAGGAGTAATTTATTTGTTCACGTTATCATTGAATGTTGATCATCACGAACCGAGGGATGACTAATTTTTCGACCTTTAAACTACATATGTCCCTACGAATTGTGGGACTAGTACTTCACAGTGTTGATTTCCGTCGCAAGGGTGACGGTCTTGTGTTTGAAAGCCTTTTTGCTCACTGCGATTGTCGGGCCGCAGCTGCAGTAGCGAGATTGGTATGGGAAGTATGGGAACGGGATCTGCTCGTATCCGCTGAGGAGGCCAAGAAGAATGCATGGTCTACATACGATGCGCGATGCAGTCTTTCAATATTAACCGCTTTACACCAGAGCAATGAAAATTAGAAGCGCCAGGAGTGCCTAGGGTTTAGGAGTATAGTATCATCAGAGCTGTTCCCCAGTCAGCGTCGTTGCGACTCGGGATGGATTATTGGTGGATATGCCCCTGCAGTCATGTGATGAGTGGCAGAATGAATAGGGAAGGCGGTGAGAAGTGACTTTAAGCCTATCTGCCCCCACCTAACTTTCCTTCAACCAATCGCACTCAGTCATCATAAGGCTTCAACTATTCGTACTCACCACTCATGAATCCCCTTCTCAACTGTCCCAGCTGATTTGGCCGCCTTGCTGGAACTGGCATACCCTCCAGACTGGCTCAACCTGGGTAGTCGGCAGAATGTCATCATCCTCAGAGACGGTGAGTCCTTCTGTGTCTTCTACTCTTTTCAATACTCATAATCAAGCTAGAAGCTGGATCGAAAGCTGAATATTTACACACCGCTCAAACCCACGGACAAAACCAAGGACTTCCTCCATGACTTCTTCAAGTTCCTTCCTCCTGACGGAAAAAAAAATCTGGCGGGGGAGGTTTCAGGATGTGCAAATGACGAGGAGCTTCGGCAACTGGTCCAAAGCATCACAACTGGCTTATTGATTCCTATGAAAGCACAGGGTGGCAAAACACTCATTGAAATCACTCCTTCTCCGCATTCTGGTGTTGAAGATTCACTGCAGCACCGCTGTTTAGAAAGAGATGGCAACCAATGTCTTGCAACGGGGCATTATAGTCACAGTCACGCCCATCCACGGAACGCACTCACGACCCATCTTGAAGCGGCCCATATTATTCCATTTGCACTTGGATCCTTTCAGGCTGATGTCGGTGAGGCAGTAGACAGATATGGAGCGATTTGGGCCAACCTACGGCGCTACTTTCCAGTTCTTGACAGTATGCCCTTTACCTCAGAACAGATAAATTCGGAAAAGAACGTCCTGATGCTAGATTCCCAACTTCACAAGGAATTCGGTCAATTCAGACTCATTTTTGAAACAACTGGAGTTCCTCACCAATATCGAATCAAGACCTTCCCAGATACCGCCACGGGGCCGATACGAGATTTACCTAGAAATCGGCATGTCAAGTTCAGAGTTCACAAAGGAAGTTGGGAACTTCCAGATCCTACACTTCTCAGAATCCACGCTTGTATTGGAAATTTTCTACATATGAGTGGCCAGGCAGAGATAATCGACAAAGTCCTGCAAGATTTTGAAGACTGTGGTGGGCTTGCTCCGAGTGGGAGCACAAACATCGAAGACTTTCTTGCAGTGAGCGGCCTCTCACTACTACCCTCGAATGCCAACGAAACGCCCGATTCTCAAAAGTCTACAGAGAAGCAACGTCCTACGGAGAGGCAAGGGCTCCAACGGGCGAAATTTCTTGACACTGAGAATAAACCATGGGGATACTAAGCAGCATAATCCGGAAAGCGGTTGTCACGGTCGCAGTTACAGGTTAGGCCATGTGATGGACCGAGACCACCTTCACTAGCTAGCTTCTTAGTTCAGAACTCATCAACAGCGAGATACAGTATTATTGCTTCGGTTATCCTCCTTTTCGTAACAGTCGCATGGCCTTTAGAAGACACACGTGAAGGCTTGTGTATGCTGCTTTTGGGAGTCGGACAGGTACGGTATTGATCTAGGTTTCCAAATTCAAAGAAAGGGAAAATTTACCATTCTATTTCTCGCAACCATATGCTTTATAAAGAAATGACATGATTAACACAAAGCGAATGTATACCAAGAAAATGCTTTAATATATTGACCTTCTGTTTTGGTAACCTTGATGCTTGGGCCTCGCGTAATTTATGGTCCGATCATCCATGGCCAGACGTATTCGGCACTGCTAGAAGATGACTCCGGCTCTGTAGCAGAACTTGGCAACTCCGTCGCAGAGTCACTCGGAGTTTCTGAGACTGGAGTAAACGTAATAGGCGAGCCAACCAGAGGAATTGACGTCTGAGCTGGGGTTGGAGTCGCTGACGGTTGGGGAACAAGAGGAGTGGAGGGCTTAGGTTTAGGCGCAGAGCTGAAAGTACTTCTCATAGACCCGGACTTGCTCAGTGCGTTCCACTCGCGTTCGAGCTTCGCCGCAAGAGACGAGAAACCGGCATTATCCTGCGATGCTATATCGAAAGAATCGGCATATCCGGATTGGACGACCATCGATATTGGGTACCTCGATGATCCGCTGGAGCTAGGAGTGCTAGTGCTCCTAGGACTGGATGTTGGAGACGTTCTCGATGGGGTGCTCGAAGGCGTAGTGGTAGATGGAGAACTGGTAGGCGAACTCGTTGGAGAACTGGTCGGTTCACTGGTCGATTCGTTGCTTGCAGTCTCGGATGGCGATTCGGACGGATCTGGTGTGTTTGATGGATCACCATCTGGATCTCCGGGGTTGTTGGGGTCATTGGGGGTTGGATCAGGGAGACTGGGAGGGTTAGGCACAGGAATGTCGGGACCTGACCCTCCTCCACCACCTCCACCACCTGAACCTCCTGGAGGTCCTCCGCAACCGATATAGCATTTCCAGCCACGTCCATGGGGTCCAACGACTAGGGGAACATCATGGCCACCGTTGTCTGTCGTGGTCGTTGTGATTGTGCCCGTGAGACTAGCATAAGCAGGGTAATCGGTCGACGAGTAGTGGGGCGTAATCGTGATGCTGCCGCTAGATATCACCGTTGATGTCTTCGATGGCGGAGAAGTGCTGGCTGGACCGGAGGTGAATCCCTGGCCCGAAGTCATCGGGATGAGAGGCCGCGATGTAGGATTGCCTGATCGGTTCGATGAGGGTCCTCCAGAGGTATCTGGGTTGGTAGATGAGCCGCTGCTTGGGGCAACAGGCGTGCTGCTAGGACTGCCTGATGGAGGGTGGCCAGGCCAAGAAGGAGAGGATGGAGAGGATGGGTCACTTGGTGAAGTTGAGCTCGACGAGTTTCCAGGCTTGCCTGTCGTAGTGCTGCCAGTTCCAGCTGGGCCTGACGAGGTGGTGGTGGTCCCCGAAGGAATGACCGGTGTAGATGCCGTTTTGCTTGTCTGGCCGACAGGAGTTGAGCTGCTTGATTCCGTAGAGGAGCTCGGCGCTGGAGTCTTGGTGGTCAAATGGGTGAAGGTGTAGGTCACCTCTTCAATGATTTTGCCGTTGCTGGTATGCGTGCTGCATGATGAGGGCACTCCCAGCGAAGGACCAGCTGAGCATGTAGGCGTGCCAGCCGCTGCCAGCCCCGCTAGCGGCAGACTGAGCAGCAAAGTCGATAGCTTTGAAATGATCATAGTCACTTCTGGTCGTATCAACTCCTGTAAACAATAGTAGATCGCGAGGAGTAGACAAAATATGTATTCGGCTCAACAGCCAAAGCTGTGGCAAAGCTATGAAACACACGATCCGCATTACTTCGGTCCAAATAAAGAACTCGATGATGTTCATGGTGCATAACCATGCAGAACCTAAGTTAGGGAACCATTTGTTTCGTCCATAGAAGCCTGTATACCCATTGATCAGCAGCTTACTTGCCGCCACGTTACCACGGGGCCGTGAGGCAATCAGTGTTGCAAAAAGCTGAAACGCCTTTGGGGGTCTCCCGATTTGCCTCTGTGACGATCATATTCTCATCTTGAAGCTCATCAGGGGCGGAACTATAAACAGTAAACATTTAGCCCCATGGAGCCGCAGCTCCCGTCCGCCTGGCTATCAATCTGACGAATCAGATCTCATCTCGACCTTGTCTGGGACTTTATTGGCAATGTACCCGCAAAAAGAAAAGGGCCTAGGGCCAGAGGCAAAAAAGTCCCTGCTTCACCATAGTTAGAGCTCTGCATTGGAAATAGGGTTAAAATCCTGAAGCCACAGATGTGGCCCAATCAACCGCCACCATGTGCTTGCTGATAAAAATTTTAAAGAATTAAATCCTCCCTGCGATAACGAATACATCCAAATTTAGCCTTGAGGTTGGTGACGCGTGGGAAGCATTATTAAATAGACGTTCAGCATGCAGGATGAGGCCAGATCTTAGGATGCATTCGCTCTTTTGAATTACACTTTGCAGGCTCTCCATTAGTTATTAATTCGAGCTCTTAACAATTAATCCGTCGTACACTTTTGTCCCGACTTGCCCCCGGGAACAAAGAATTTTCATCTTCTCTAAAAAAAGAACACAAGCTAGATCTGTAAGGATGTGAACGCAGTCCCCAAAGAGCATGGTTCCCCGCTGATGAGTTGGATGCGGGGACATGCCGATATACCCCCGAAAGTAACACTTAAAAGACAGTTCCCAAGAAAATGTCATTATGAAAAGAGATCTAAGATCTTTGAGCCACCATGTCAGCCGTTCTAGATTTCTGGCAAGATACTTCTCTGCCATATTACCTATCAGGGTTACTGGTGTTGGTATGTCCAAATAGTCCCCGCTAGAGGGTGAATGAGTGTTGAATCGCGTCGCATTCCGCCCTTCAGATACTCGGCACAATCATCTACAATGTGTGGCTTGACCCATTAGCCCCGTTTCCTGGTCCGTTTTCCGCCAAATTTTCGTCCCTGTGGATCGTTCTTCAATGTCGACAAGCCAAGCGTTCCGAGTCCGTTTTGAGGCAGCATCAACGACATGGTGACTTTGTGCGCATTGCACCCAATCATATTTCCATCTCGAACCCCGCAGCACTGGAAACAATCTATGGCCATAAGTCGGGATTCACCAAAGGCCCTTTTTACGAAGATAAGCTCCATCCTCTGGATCGATTTCACTGTTCCTGGCAAGTTGACTCGTATAGACAATTTACCCTTTCATCAGGTTGAGCCTGTTATTTTCAATACCAGAAGCACCGAAACCCACCAGCGAAAACGCAGGTATCTGAGTCCGGCATTTTCGACGAAGAACCTCAATGAATACGAGCCTTACATGACCGTACAAATCCAGAAATTAATGGAGTGCATTCGCTGCATGAATAATTCTGGAGAGACGCAGCTGGATTTCAACGAGTATGGTAAGTATGATAGATATTTTCCAAGAAAAACCCCGAATTGACCCTGTAGTAGCGAATTACCTAGCTTTCGACGTGATCAGTTAGTCCTCCCAGAATGTCCTTCTTACCTCCCAGCTGATACACGTGGTCGCAGGTGATTATGCCTTTGGAAGATCATTCGGATTCCTTGACAAGCAGAGTGACCACTTCAACCTTATAGCAACAATTGATGCCCGCGGAGAAGTCCTCAATGCACTAGGCCACGTACCACAATTCCTGCGTCCTCTCATGAAATACTTCTTTCTGGACTCTTTCTGGCCCAACGGCCTGCGTGCAACATCAAACCTGGCAACAATAGGGACAGATGCCTACTATCTCCGCAAAGACCAGCAGGACTCGCGACGAGATCTGCTCAGTTTCCTGTTCAATGCCAAAGACCCAGGGAACGGAAACCCTCTCCCCGAGAAAGAAATTATTGCGGAATCTATCTCGTTTATCGTGGGTGGCAGTGATACCACCAGCTCGACAATGACGAATATCGTTGATATTGTCTCCCGCTTGCCAGGGGTCCGAAGACAGCTTCAGGCGGAGCTGGATGAGGCTTTTCCCGGACAGATGCCAGGCAGCTGGGTGGCTGATTTTGCGACCGTTAATAAGCTTCCCGTTTTAAATGCGGTTCTGCGTGAGACTATGAGATTCAAACCGACTAGTTCTACGGGCTTGGAGAGAGTGACGCCGGCTGGGGGCAAAGTGATCGCTGGGAAATATATCCCAGAAGGTGTAAGTACTGGCCTTGCTCGGAAATGCACTACAATGGATACTAAACATTATGGCAGACCTTGGTTAGTGTGCCTACGTTGAATATCCACCATAACCCGGCCATTTTCACGAAGCCAGACGAATTTGATATATCACGCTGGCTTGATAACGCATCTTCGACATTGTTGGATTCTTTTTACCCCTTCTCTCTAGGGCCACGCGCCTGCCTTGGGCGAAAGTATGTTCTGCCTTGTTCTCTGCCTGGTCTATCTCGAAGCTGACTACAGTGAAGCTTTGCATGGATGGAGATGCTGAAAACACTGGCCACGATCTTGAAGCTATTTGAGCTGGAAAGGGTGGAAGTAGCAGGCAGTGGAGTTCGGGAAGGGTTCTTTGTGAAGAACAAGGAGTGCCATGTAAAGATTTCGGGTAGATAAATAACTCTCTACACTTGCTGTCGGGCTTAACGGAATTTGGGTTGGGGGCGATGACATAACCGGTTATCGATAAGTCCCCCTCACTTGCTTCACTCACCGTTCTTAACGCCCCCATAATGGCCTCGCCCGGATCCTCTGATAATCAGGAGCCTTCAAACCCGTCTACTGTGTGGCATCCAGCGCAGGAGTGGTTGGAAGATGATGAGCTAGATATGGATTACCACCCGGCACAAGATATAACCGAGGACGACGACGATGATTGGGAGGACCACATGGATGATGGATCGGATGAAGCGGGGATAGATGTTTCGGACGGTAGGAACTCATTGTGCTTGCTTTTGTAGATGTTCTGACTTTTCAACCGCAGAGAACCCGCATGTCACTCTTGGAAATATCCATATCGAGCTTGCAACAGGTGATGAAGATGAGCAGGATCAGGGTGCACATCACCCACGCAGTATGTTTATGAGAGAATGCAAGGAAACAATTGCTAATGCTTGGTTGAAGTTCCGGCTGCGCGTTTATTTGAATTACTCGCATCGAGCGGTCTCCAACACATACTTCAGTCCAATGGATGGCCTGGCCTAGCGGAGGAAGAGGAGGACGAGGACGACGATGAAGATGATTATTACTTCAGTGCTTTCAGAAATCGGCCCAGAGCCAGGCGGAGGACTGGGCCTGTTGAATACCCTAAAGTACCTAGCGACGAGGGCAAAGAGTTGATGGGGGAGGGCCACTTTGGATCCGACCAGTATTACGTGGATCGCCTAAAACAGCGCAAAAAGGCCCTTGCAATGAATTTGATGTGGCGAGAACTCGGAATTGATGTACATGGAGTGCAGAAGAGAGCGGATCAGGCTATTTCCCAGGTATGTTGTTGTGGAATGACGAAAAGCATAGTGCACAAGGCTAATACGCAACTATGTAGAAGCTGATACCGGGCTCCGCCGCAGATCGGATCATCCATTACGACGCACGAAGTTACTCTGGACAATTTTCGGACGATGGAAACTTCTTTTTTTGCTGTGCCCAGGACTTTCGGGTTCGGATGTACGATACATCCAATCCATACGAGTGGAAATACTACAAGACTGTCGATTATCCTTTCGGCAGATGGACAATCACCGACTCCACGTTGAGTCCTGACAACCGGTTTCTCGTGTACAGTTCAATACGAAGCAAAGCCTACCTTGCCACAACAGATCCAGAGGATGTCTCGGACCCGATTGTGCTGGATTTTTCCGGAGTTCCAGGTCGGAGACGACAGCAGCATGGCTGGGGCGGTCCTGACTTTGGGGTATGTTCTGCATCAGATTGTCTGAGCGTGACTGGCTGACTTTACTGTCTTAGATTTGGTCTCTTCGGTTCTCTGGAGACGGTCGTGAGCTCGTCGCGGGAACAGATGAGGATTCGGTGATTGTGTATGATCTCGAAACGAAACGGACTGTCCTGAATCTCCGAGGTCGTCACCAGCACCATGTCAACGCGGTCTGTTTCGGTGATTCTTCTTCTCCACACATTCTCTACTCTGGCTCAGATGATACGACACTTCGAGTCTGGGATCGACGGTCCATGGGCGATGGGCGCGAAGCAGGAGTATTCATGGGCCACACTGAGGGGCTGACCTACGTCGACAGCAAAGGCGATGGCCGGTATGTGCTTTCAAACGGCAAAGACCAAACCATGAAGTTGTGGGATTTGCGAAAGATGATGACGACCGCCAAATTCGATACTATCGACCCCAACATCTATACAACTGACTTTGACTACCGTCATGGCCCATACCCAGACGACTGTTACCAGCCACACCCGCACGACTGCTCCGTGGTCACCTTCCGTGGCCATCGCGTTCTCAAAACTCTGATCCGCTGCCACTTCTCTCCTCCCGGAAGTACCAACTCTCGTTATGTTTATAGCGGCAGCGAAGACGGCAAAGTATACGTGTACAACCTGGACGCCACCCTGGCTGGTACGATTGACGTGAGATCCGCAACGCAGAACTCGCGGCCCCGCGAGCCAGACCCCTTCTCGGCGGCGTATGGGATGAGCGGCGAGATGATGTGGCGGACCTGTGTGCGAGACGTTAGCTGGCACCCGAATGCGCCGGTCCTGGCAGGTAAGTGATTCTCAATGCGGCTGGTTCAAGGGACATAGCTGACCCAAACTAGCATCATCCTGGAATGGATGGGGCGGGTCAACCGGTACCTGCACAGTGCATTCATGGAACGATGGTGCCGCAGACGACGAGGGCGACCCTCCAGTTGGTAGTAGCTATGACGGCAAACTGCGGCCGATCCCCGAGTTCAACGAGTACCGTGACAACGCCCCGACGACTCAATCGCGCCGTCCACTGCGAAGTCGGCCTGTCCGGCAACTATTTGTCGGCGGTGAGCCTAATTCACCGGAGTGGTAGGGGATAACATTGGGATCGCAAAATAGAATTAGAGACTTTGGGTGTTCAGCAGGCAACGATGTCTTCTTGAGAATTGATTTGGTGCATCTTGGCCGATCTCTACACATATGCTCTGCTTGCATCTCAGCGTGTAGGATTAATGAGTAGTATGGAATGCAAATACGAAACTCTCTCTTTCTCTCTCTGTCTCTCCATGTTTGATCAGAAAGGAACCCCTGTGGTGGATTGCTCAACGATGCTAGGGTATCTCATGGATCGCACCGCCCCCCGGTGCGTCCAGACTATGCGCCCGTAAAGATAAAAGTACACAGAAAAGAAAAAGGTAAGAACAGAGACCATCATCTGCAGAACAAAGGGGGTTTCAAATGCCCAAATGGAAATCGAAATCGAAATCCGAAGTCCTTCCTCCTGTAGTAATCTCCGAAACAGATGTCATCCCATCTCCTGACGCGTGCAACTGACCGACCGAGGTCATTGACAATGCAGATCGAGCTTAAGCGCCGCCGACGAGAACCTGGTTGACGGGGATGTGGACTGTGGGGAAGAGGAGCGACGTTAGCAGGGAGGTTCTGGAGCTTGGAACTCGACGACACGAAGCTGGGGCACACTTACTCAGCTTGACGAAGTAACCGATCGCGCCCTGGAAAAGAAGACAAGATCAGCACGAGCTCGGGGTATTCTGGCGGAGAGGAGGGAGGGAGAGGGAGAGAGATCGAGAACATACCATCACGAGGAAGCCACAGCCCACGGCGTAGGAGATCTTGTAGAACTCATCCTTGTCGGCTGTCGACAGAAGGTCAGCATTGGTCCCAGCAGCAAGAAAGTCATCTCATCGACTCACGCTTGGTGCAGCGACGGATGAACTGCGAGCCATCGCGCAGGAAATCCTTGGGGATATCCGCCAGCTCTTGGAGAGTCTCCGACATCTTGGCACGGGTTGAGAGATGAGTGTGGTAGATAAACTCGAGGTAGTAGAAGTAGCTGAGCAAGAGGGCACGAAGGAATTGCTTGTCGTGGTCGAAGTCAACGGGCTGCTGGAGTCTCCCGCGGTCGGGCCAAATGGCCTCTCGGGGACGGATCATCTGGCGCTCCGTCACCGCCTCCAGCCGGGCAGAATCCGCGTCCGGCTGATATTCCACCGCATCAACCCAGCGCTCTGGCTTCTGCTTCGTCTTGCGCTTCGGCTTTTGAGGACGACAACTACGAGACATTTTGTTCAACAGAAGAAGGGTCTGTTTCTTTGATACTGGTGTTTTCTGGCGAACTGGGGAAAACTGTGTGTGACAGCGTTCAAAGGTTTACGTTCTGGGAGAGTTGTGCCTGCCCCCTTTCATCATCTTCTTGTGCGCGCCAATATTTTGTGCGCACACCCAATCCACTGCCTGTCTGTGGCTGCTGGTCTTGTCTCTCTATCCTTCTTCTCCAGGCACCGCGCTTTTCCTTCTTCTGGACCTGTACCCGCGCGTCGAGCTCGAGCTCTCTCCTGTCTATCTCATCGCCCACCAGGTGTGGCTTCTCTTATCACCAGAGACCAGGGTTCTTTCTCTTCGGATTGTACGTATTACTGAGCACGTTGTGTCTGTGTGTCTTTTTGTCTTCTTGTTTTCTTGGTCCAGCAGGCACTGGGAGGGACTTGCTGCCTATGGGCTATTCTCTGGGAAATGACTCCTCCATGCTAATTGACGGCCTGTCTCTGCAGACATGTATTACTGAAACAACCAGAAGAGAGAAACAAAAACAAAGAAGAAGTTTATTCACAAGAATCAAGTCCACTTACCTGCTCTGAGCTTGGCCCTCGGCTGATCTAGTGTACGCAATGGCCACCGAGGACGATAACTTCGACATTGACATCTACGGGGACGGCGGCGGCTTCAATGCCAACGAACCGGATTTCAAGGGGGAGGACTCGTCGGAGCTGGTGCTAGACGCGCCGGAGAACCCGCCTCCGGAGAACAACGTGAAGGTTGAACAACCAGAAATAAAAACGGAGCCGCTGCAGCCGTCGGCAGCGGTCAATGGAGAGCATCAAGCTCAGACCCAACAGCAACAACAACAACAACAACAACAACCGCAAGAGCCAGCCGCACCGCACGGAGTGAAGCGCAAGGAGTATGATGACCGTTCAACGGACCCGGACGCCACGGCGGCGCTGCTCATCTCAGACCTGTTCTGGTGGACAACCGATGACGATATTCGGGGTTGGGTCAACCAGGCCGAGTGCGAGGATGGCCTCAAGGATGTCACATTCAGCGAGCACAAGGTGAACGGGAAGAGCAAAGGGTGAGTACCTCGTCAAATCCCGCCCGCCCCCCAAATCATTGAGACGGAAGCTCATCATCGGGATATACGAAACAGCCAAGCATTCGTGGAATTCACCACTCCGCAAGCCGCTACAGCCGCGAAACACCAGATCGAGTCCCTGGGACTGACAGGTTCATCCGGCCGCAAGCATGTCGTCATCTACACCAATCCACACGCAAACCCATTCAAAACCCTCCCCAAGGATGCGCCAATGCGCAAGGACAACCGGTCCGTCGGCGGTGGCGGCGGATTCACCGCCGGCGGCAGCCAGAACTTCGGCATGAACAACATGGGCGGCGGTGGTGGTTTCCGAGGTGGTCGTGGTGGCGGGTACAACCGTGGCATGGGCGGCAACCTGGGTGGGGGCTTCAACAACCGCAACAACTTCAACGCCATGGGCGGTGGCGGCGGCTTCCAGGGCGGATCCGGGCCCAACAATATGATGGGTGGTTTCCAGGGCCAGCCGATGGGTGGTGGCATGCAGAACTACGGCTTCAGTAACCGCGGCAATATGATGGGTGGTATGCGCGGTGGTCCGGGGGGAATGCGTGGTGGTCGTGGTGGAAATAACATGGGTGGACCGAACATGATGGGCGGCATGCCTGGTATGAACCCAATGGGAGGCATGGGGATGAATCCCATGGCCGGGGCCATGGGCCCAATGATGGGGGGAATGGGCGGTAACATGGGCATGCAAGGTGAGTTCAGATCTACTTTTCTTCGGCTTTCGTCCATCCAGTTAGCAGTAGTTGCTGATACTCGTTTCTCTGCAGGACAAGGCTTCCAGGGCCCCAACCAAGGCTTCAATCAGGGATTCTACAACCCGAACCAAGGCGGTGGTGGCGATGCATCGTGGAACCCGCACGGCGCTAAACGCAGCCGGCAGGAGTGAAGAAGCTAACGAAAAGACATAGCTCTTAAAAAGAATCCTCGCCTCTCCTCGCACCTCGTTGCTTTCGATAAGATGCGGAAAGCATTGCTGACTATGGCGTACATCTTTTTTTTCCCTCCCATTTTTTCAACTCAGGCCGAAGGACTTTGTTTACCCTATTACAACTACTAACTCTCGCCAACAAAGCGGCCGTCTGTTCACAATTTTCTATTGTCATTATGCTTTTCCCCGTTACGGCTGCAAGCGAAGGAAACAAACGGAAAAGAACGGAAAGGAAAGGAAAGGGAAAAGGCAGCAAACAAAACTAGGGCTCGTTTTGGATTTCGAGATCTCTGGGTGTTTTTCTAGTTTCTTTTCAACTGGTTTCTTTTTCCTCTTTCTCTTTCTTTTCTTTCGATTCAACTGATGTATTAGATGCAAGTCAAATGGAGTCTGCTGCTTTTGTTCTGTTTGGTGAATGCTCATACGTAGTAAGTATTCTTTGTACATGACGCGAAGCCTAAGTAGCATAAATTCTATAGGCGGCCGAGGTTTCAGGCCATTACTCCTCCAGTCCAGGCATGCGGACCCAGGATACATATGTGGCGGAAATGCCGGTCTTAGAAATAAGCTTCTAGGTGTGAGGAAGCGAACAAGCAACTATGAGAAGAACTGTGATAGATAGACCATAATGCGATGTAAAATTCCAAATATGCTAGCGCCGTCTAAACGCTGAGAGGCAGTAGGTAGTGTGACCGTACCACCTTGATGCCTGGTATCAAGTTCATAAAATCATAACGTGCATAGGAACAAAGTAGATCCTATAAAAATCAAGGACCCCGAGTAAAAGTCAACCATAACCGACCCTTGTAGTATACAAAACTTGTGCAGTATGTATACAATTCCTAGATCAATATCAGATGGGCCACCTTTTACATTGATAGAGAAAGGGTACTTACCGGAAGACCCCATGTTCAGCCTGGGTTAATCAGAAAACAAGAAGAAGGTGATATGGTGTACAGAAGGAAGGAAATATGCACCAATATCAAGAGGAAGAAAGATCAGAACCATAGGATATTGGCAATGCAATGCATGCAATGCATCCAGAAAAAGAAAAACAAACCAGAAAACGCAGGGAAAAAAGACAGAGAGCTCACAAATCAAGTCCAGGAGTCATTCAGTCAGCAGCATACCACCGCCATGGCGGCCCATGTTCAAGAAGAAAAGAACAATATGCATGACAAGCACATAAACCGACTTCAGCTCATCGTCGGCGTCATGCGGAACCAGTTTCGAGGACGTAGCACTCCCTGCACTATTCATCAAGTCGAGCAGCTTCTGGATAAGCCACTGGAGATCAGTAGTGAAAGCCCATTCGCCTTCCAGTTCTTCTTCGAGGCTTGAAATGGCAGTGACAAACTGAGAAGAAGACGGTTCAAGGGCCGAGGAGTCTGCATTCTCGTCGGTATCGCCTTCTTGGGCCTTCTCCTTCTGCTTTTTGTCTGAGGACTCTGTAGCCACGGACGACCGGAGCTTAAGCAACCGCACTACTACCTGAACTCTTGTCCACAGGGCATGGCTGTGGCCCGACTCACCAGACTCACGAGACTGCGTGTCGCCCGCCGCAACCTTGAATGTCACTTCGACGTGTCTGTCAGTAGACACTGCTTTGCGGGTACGTGCTATGTACTGCGGACGAGGCATGGCACGGCATGGGCAGTTGCACTCTGGGACCGGCTCGAGGCTTGCGGTAGTACTCAGGAGCGGCAGCGAGTTGCTCCGCGGTGGAATGGACAAGTCTGGTAACAAATGTGAGCAAAGGCGACTCGCTAAAATATCAGGGGGTGGATGGGCAGAACATACAGTCCCAGGTGCCAGGAAGGACGCTTGAAAGAAGCTCCATGGGTATCCTCTTGGGTTGAGACTTGGTGGCTAGAGGATTGATCCATTTGCCGAGTCTGCGCAGTATGGAACCTGGGCCCATCACAGACGGGCCTTTGAAATGACTGTCATAAATCAAGGGAAGATCGGGCTCTGGTACCGCAGCGACCATGATCGTGGAGTCGTCTCCGATGTCCCAGTTACCACGGTTGTTGGGGGCGTTCCTGGTGCCGGTTCTATAGTCCTGCGATCCTGCCCGCGGAAACACTCCTCCGGTATATGTGTATGGATCTGCGGGGAATGAAGCAGCGACACCATGCATATCTTGGCCAAACCCTTGGTTTTGGATATATCCAGGAGTTGTCAACTCACGAGGGTCGACATATAAAGGGCTTTGGAATGGAACAGGTCGATTGGCAGGAGCCTGATGTCCAATAGGTGACTGTATCGCAAGCCGATAAGGGGCACACATGTGGCATTGACTCATCTGGAGACACAGGTCGCATTTGTTGACGATATGAGGACAGCGGGGGCACTTCCGCTCAGGCTCCGGCTGTGGCTGTGGCTCTGGTTGCTGTGGATGCCTCAAGGTGGAAGAATCATCTGTTCTCTTGCGCTTATACTGGCTGCCAGGGATCGGATCGCTAGTTTTATTGGGGGTTTGACCACGCCGAGACCGGTTGGATTTGTGGCCGGCCTTGGGGTTGGACTGTAGGGCCTCACCGTCCCCTGGGGTGTTAACGAACTCACAGTGGCTAGTGAGGCAATTGTAGAACCCATCCCAGCTTTGAACAGACTTGGGACAAAGAAGACACTGTGTAGGGCAAGCCAATTCTTGACGGACATTGTTGATCTCCGTGGAGTCGAATCTAAACAGGCCATGGTCCTTCTCAGCGTGCGTTTTAAGCTTGTCACGTCTATTCTCGTAAATGCCGCAACTCGGTGGACACCGCGGACACCAGTATTTAAACTGGGGCTGATGAAAAGACTCAACATGGCGCTTCAATGTTCCGGGTTTTGTGAAGGTAGGTTGGTTATGCTTAGAACAGAGTAGACAACGATACATACGTTCCTTCGTCTGCTCTTTCTGAGGGGTTGCTCTCGTTTCGGGCTCAAGAGTCTCATTATCAGGTAAACCAACCCTAAGGTAGAGCATTGAGCGGGCCTCGTCGAGCCTTGAGAGGGCCTCATCGAAATTATTTGAACTCCAAGCCTTATTAGCTTGTTGGAGACATCGGCTGAACTCGGACGCCTGGGACTGTTTATGGGCAGGCGTGTCAAACCCTAGGGGATCATTTTGTTTCACGCCAGAAGCATACTGGGTCTGGGCCAGGTCCAACGGAGACTGATCCCACATTTCCTGAATGTTCAGAAAATTGCCCGCTCCGATTCCAAGAAGGTCGTTATTTATATCCCTCGAGACGGGCGTTATAGCTGCCTCGGGCTCAAGAGATTCTAGCTGCCCAGCTTGGCTAGTCGTGCGGCTTGTAGTTCCGATAGAGGGATCCCAGAAGCCGGATGGTTCCTGATGTCCGGAAGATTAGCCATGGCCATGAGCTCTTGATCACGGTTGGCACTTACTGAACCCGAACTCTGCGACGGCGTTGCCATATCTGTCTTCGCTTGACATATTGTGACTAGCGAGGCTGTCGAATTTGCCAAATTATCGGACGGCTCTCGGTGGTACCATGGGTCATGTGAGAAGCTCATAGAGGAAGCGGCGTGTAGCTTCCCAGTGGACAACAGGGAAAGCGTGGAGGCAGCAGTAGGCGATAGGCAGGGTCTCATGAAACTAAAAAGGAAAACAGTATGGCTTGATTTGACTAAAGGACTAAGCAAGAAGACCTTCGGAAGGAGGGAATTAAAACTGGGGGGCAGCGTGCTTTTAGTTCTCGAGCCTTTCACCCAGGTGATGAAGTCGAGACGGCCCGACACGCTTCAGTGTGGCATGGCCGGGGAACGGGGAATAATGGGTCCTTCTGCGTTGGCTCCGCCATGCGCCCCAAGGTGGAAAATGATCTTCAGCCCGTCTTTATCCGCAGGCCGGATAACCATTTGTCTCTCTTCATATCTCCAGGCGGTGAGGTAAGCCTTCCAATCTCTCCGAAAAGAGATCGAAATATGAGGCGGAGGTGTGTCGATAGCACAGCCCCCCCGCGCAGCTGCTTGTCAGTGACAATCTAGGTTCGTGGGCCGCCCGACGTCACCTAGACTGGATGGATGCGAGACACTACCGAGGTTCCCCGATGGGCGCGGTCTTTGCAACGAGGCCAATCGACAGTTCTGTTGTATGTCCCCCTGCTGCATTAGTTCTGTCGGGCACCAAAGTCACGCGCGGTGGCAAATAGGTCAACCCCCGCATTTTAAGCCTCACTCTCGAGGGTTGCGCGGATCTGTTCACCGGGAGTTTAGCATTGACTTTGGGCTTTTGGCCGGGCTTGACTGCCCTGACAGCGATGATATACGTACTTCCATGTGCTTGGACAATTGTGCAACCAACCGGAAAGCCAAGACCGGATGACGCCTGAATGCCTTCCGGCGCCAAGAAAATTCCACCTCGATCTGATTCGTGTTTGACCATGTCAGCTGGGACGGGACAGCCGGGCGTCAAGAGTTTCATGCTAATCCAGTCTCTCTCACTGACAAGTAAATCTTCGGAGTTTAGAGTGAGGGATTTTCTGATTCAGCTGAATGATTGTGGGCCCCTTTACACAGAGAATACCTGATCCTCAGTGCATAGTGTTACGCAGCAAGCTCCTTCTTGCGCCTTCTAGCGTTTCTAGCGTTTTTAGCGTCCTGTCTCGTGGGTCCCCTCGACGGGATCTTCGAGGAACCGTGGACGCGATCGCGGGTTCCACAAAATTGGTTTCGTTCCACTGTGAACAACCCGCAGGGCTGACTGCTTCAATGATAATGCCACCATCATTCGAGCGATGTCAAGTGCCCAACCGAACGAGGACATGATAACCGAATAGCACGGAAGAGAGGGGGCAGCGACGCAGCCAAACCGGATGTTTTTTCCTGATCCCAAGAGGCACCAATCCGGGGAGTGGTGGAGTGGAGTCCGATAAAGCATTTCCACGTGCACGATCCGCCGGATTGCGGAGAAAAGGATTACGATGAGCAAATGAGTAAATATCCGGATCCATATCCCTATCTATAACTAGGCGCCACGATCTATATATCCAACGTCAAGAACAAATACATAAAACAATGAGATAACACAAAAAGAAGCCCAACCGGTAAACCAGGGTACCAACGCCCCGCCACTTGCCCATCCGAACCATCCCATGCTACCCCATAACGATCAAATGATCTAGAAAGAGATGTTGACACAAATGCCGTTGCGCATTGCCATTTGCCTCCGATACAATTGTTTCAAGTGGGAGACACCTAAAGTATAACAAGGATGACTAGGTCCGCCTGTTGACACTGGACCACGGGGACGAACTGGTGGACTTCACGAACGTCGGGGAACTCTTGCTTTTCGTATAGGTCTTGGACGAAGTGCCGGTGGACTTGCTGCCGATTTTAAGCACAGTGTCCTTTGGGATCTTGATGTTGGATTGCCAGGCGCCGATGCCGCGAAAGTCTGGGTTGGAGGAAGGCATTGAGCTGCTCAGGAACACGGTTTGATCAGTCTGTATTCCGGTACCATGCATCACAGAGCTAGGTAGGACTTACCTGGAATGTGTGACAGAGGATAGTTTCTTAGGAAGTCTTGGTTGTTTGGTGATAGCAGCACTTCCTGGAGAGACTTCAACCCCTTTTTATAACCAGTCAGTTCCTATCTGTCTGAACACCCAGGAGATGAACAGTCGCTGCCTACGGATGACAGTACCTGGGTGAGGGCAGTGAAGGTTGGGAGAGTCGGGTGCGTGGTGGCCGTGTATGCAGATCACCACCGCCATTTGGAACACTCGATTGCAAGAAAGATATAACCTAGGACGAGTTTATGGGTGTTTGTGGTGGAGGGCGAGCTGACGAAGTAGCGGTGGTAATCATTACCCACCGTGACTTGGGGTTTCTGTGATAAAATGTACCTGCATCCTCAGACCCAAAAGATACAATTACGGCGTAATTTGGATGACGATTACACGCAACTAAATCTGGACGAATGACCTCGGCAGACGCCTGGAATGGATGCGGGAAATCTGTATACTTGGTGGGTGGGTCGGTGCTCCTCTAGTCAAAGGGACGTGTATGTGTACGTTTAGTTTGCGGGCCGAGTGAGTATTTTACATCGGCTTCACAACACCGATGGATATGCACCTGATTCAACTCGTTCTGCCTGGCTCAAGACCGGACAGAAGTCCGTGATTGGACTGCCAGTCTGCAGTGGGTGAAAGTGGACCAGCCGACTTTCCACGTGGTGAATCAATGTGTACTGTAATGACTACCCATGCTAGTATTCTCGTTTATCTCGACAGGGCGCAGCGCAAAGAATCAGTCCACCCAGGGTCACGAAGGGACGGAGCAGGGGTTTTGACCGAACAATTGCGTCAGCGTTTAGTTAAAGCCCAGAGAACAAGCCAGATCAGGGCGTCTACCATTTGCCCGGTAAAGCTGTAACTGTACGGAAACATGCAGGGCAGTCGTAATATTACTGACTCGCGCCAGGCCAATCTCAGAGACATGATTAGCGTCTAACCTGTCTGGGTAGCATTATAGATTAGAACGAATCACCCGAGTCCAATGTTCTAGTCACACGGCATGGAGAGAGCGTTCTTTACTTGGCCGTTCCTGCATCCGAAAACATGTTTATTTCTATCTCCCTCGGAGGTCGCTGTGCGCTTAGGCCCTGTTTTGCGCGGAGAAGTTCAGCCGGCCCCCCGCTATGGAGATGGTATGGCTGCTATCTTTACAGCCGTTGGTCGGCCTTGTACATAATAATGCGCACGCCCGAGTCGATCGGTTTTAGTTCCTTTCTCTATCCTTTTTTTTAAATAAAATCATGCACGGCGATACATATAGTGTCCTTGACCGCACAGGCCTTCTTCTTGGAAAGTGACCATTCTGCCTTCCATGACGTACGGTATTATCGTATCAATGTTTGATAGCCCATTTATACGATACATACTAGTGCAATCGCCGTGGTGCACGCCAGGGTGCACTATGACGCTCACATCGGGTGAAAAGGCAGGGCTGAGCGTCTGAAGAGGCTTAGGCTTGTAAAACGGACCATACTGTTACCATGGTCTTCTTAGTCCAAGCTCCCCAAGCGACTGCACCAAGGCAAATCGACGTATCTCCATACAAACCCATTGCTGCGTTGGTCCAGTCAGGGTTGTTCCAGAGGCCAAGTCTTTCAGTCTGTTTGAATCATGTTCCAAGGAGCGGTTTCCCACTTGATCCCTGGGTCAATACTCCCGGGCAGCCAGGATAAATCCACGATAGGTACCACTGGAGAGACAGATTTGGGGTATTGCTCTCCTCTTTTGCACTAGTCCACTTCGGACAAAAAGGGCACGCGGTGCGGACAGTACTTTTCGACCATTTCAAAGCACCCCATGTGACGCCTTAGGGCAGACCCGCAGATTGTAAGCCGAACAATTTGAGAGGCATCACGGTGGTATGACTGTGGCCCAAGGCAGCAACTAAATCCAGTTTAAGACAGTAATATCGCCATTGGACAAAAAGCATGTTCATAGAACTTTCTCTCCAAATAGAGGGAAGGCGGCATCGACCAGCCCAGGCAAAAATGGAGGGGCCTTGGACCAACGTCTTCCCGCGTGATGTTTGAAGGAAAATTTTACGAGGAAAGTGTATCTATTGCCCGCCAGAATACCTACTCTATCAAAAACCCCACTTGATGTCACAGTCAGTGCGATAGTCGATGGCGACTTGCAGAAATTTCAGCAGTAACGGGCGGTTCAAAGCAGTGTATGCGGCACGTAACAGGGAATAGGATGTTTCACGGTAGTCCTCGAAGACCCAAAGATCTTTACCCAGTTTCAGGGCAGCTCCGGGATATCCTTGGGCCGTAAGATACATTGCTTCTCGTCCTCGCAGCGCCACATCTTGAGCTGTGATAGTTGGGTTCCAAGTGTCAAATATATCATCGGCAGTCAAACGAACATATTCGTCGGGAGCTGTGACGATTCCCATCCGATCGCGTGTTGCGGCGAGAGGCTGGCGATGAGCATCCACTCCTGCATACTTCAGGATATATTCCTGCCCGACTTCCAAGCGGTCTCCTGTGCCGTATGACTGCAACACTCTCCGCAGAGAGACAAGCCGTTCAAGTTGCTTCTGATAGGATTCGGCAGCACCTGGGTCATCTCTAACGTATTCCGTCAAGCCTTTATGGGAGCGCTCGATCTCGTGCCGTAGGACTTCGAACATGGTGTAACCGGCAATGTAGAATTCAAAGGCATCGTTGCTATAGTAGGAGACCAGAGGGAATGGCGGATTCCCGGGATCATCAAGATAATAGCCCCAATGCAGGCCGTAGGACCGGTGGCAACCGTTAGGAATTCTGGTGGATCATTGTAGTAGCGGGCCCTCCAGAGCCATTTGTCGTTGTGCGCTGGAACTGGATCTCGCAAAAGATCGAAAGGTCCAGTCAGGCTCAGCTCAAGTCCTGCCTCGTCGAGGAGGGAGGAATGATTGTTGACGAAATCCCGGAAGGAAAAGAAATCTGGAGGGAATTCTGTGCCGTATACTAGCTTCAGGAGGAGACGACGGTCATGGTTGTCAGGTTTATCAGAGCTCGCCATGAATTGTTATTCTTGTCAAGGGAATTCAGGGGAGACAATGACAAGTAGGCAACTAGGACTAACTGTGGATATATTGACAGGCTCGTATGATTGAGGGGCTCTCTTGACTTGGTATGTCTCATGAAGGGTTCCCTATATTTCAGCTTAACGGTAATTTTCATGGTTTAACGATTTCTTTCTAACCAAACCTTTCTCCCTGTTTCATCTCACGACTAAAGTGCAGAAACTGTGTTCGGTCTGAAACAATATTGTCATTGGATAAATAACACATGATCATCCCTAAGCTCTAGACTCCTGCTGAATGTAGATCGCTAGGGATTACTAGTCCTAAAGAGGAGATATGGCACGAAATGCGATGGCAGATTATCTTGAAAGCGCTCCACGTTCATTACATGCGTGGTAAAAAAGGGGGCTGAAGTGCTGACAGCTGAGGCTATGGGTTGAATCGCCCCAGAGCGAGTCCCCCTTTTAAAGGGTACCCTACCTGATCAGGTGATATACCAGTCATAGAAACGAGCAGCCTGCACGGTTTGGGATATTATGTTGTCTCTGATTTCTCGAGGAGGTCTGATCAGAAGGCAGCAGACATGGTAGGGAAGATGAAGTAGAATTTAACGTGGTTTAGATACATCTCTATAATCCCTCATTTAGTCAATTCAGCGTCAAAAGCGACCAAACTCTTTACCGAATCTACTATACACTCCTTCAGCGAGCGAAACTTCACTCCCAGAATGTTCCTTGCCCGACTATTATCGAAGCCATACACTCCATCTGCGGGATAGTCCCCAGGGATCAAGGCATCGCCGGTGGGCAATCGATCGCGGAACTCGGGGAACTCCTCACCAATAATCCTCGCAATTTCCTTATTCGAGAAATGTCCTGACACAGTGAAGAAGCGCTTCCCACCCGCATCCTCCTTCTCTGCAGCGAGAACATGCGCCAGAGCCAGGTCGCGAACATCAACAAAGCCATAATTTCCCGTTGGCGGACAGCGATCTTTGGCTGCGCCCGAAATTAGATCACGGATTCTTTGGTTGGATGTATTCAGAGCGCTTAGAGAGGCGAGGTCGTGTGCAATAGGGCCCAGGACAAGTGGCGGGTTTATGACGGATAGGCTGAACGCCGGGTTTTCTCTTTCGACAAATTCCCAGGCGGCGCGTTCCTGAGATGAAATTAGTTTCTGCTATACCAGACTCCGGGGAGGCATTCGAGTCACTCACTGCAAAGGTCTTGCTAGCGCGGTAGGCATTGGCGGGACTTTCATAGGCTTGAGCTTCGGTGATGGGGCTCCAATCGGCCTGTGTCATTTGTTTAGTGGATGGTTGGAGGCTAATATGCAGATATACCGACATACCTCGGAGTAAATTTTGCCAGCAGCCTTCGCAAAAACGTCATTAATCGCCGCGAAAGAGGATGTCACTACTACCCGCTTGACCGTTGGGGCGTATTTCTGTATTGACTTCAGGATACCAGTAGTCCCGATGATAGCTGTGGCCTTTTTAGCAACCTTGGATATCAGCTAAAAGAGATCAAAAATTACCTGGATCCAACAGTTCTGTCTTTGCATCTTTAGCATGGAAGTGATACGGACTAGCCGTGTGAATGACAGCCTCAAAAGGTGGATCTGAGATAACCGCTTCATCGAATGCTATAGAGTAGTTATTAGTTTACATTCCCGGTGAATAAAAGCAAGTTAAATACCGTTTATACGGGCAATATCTTCCACAATAGCACAGTCCAGACGATCTGTGCCTAGCTCCGGATGCGCCTGGAGGATGGCATTGGCCTTTTGTTGGGAGCGAACGGTTGTCACGACTGAATGGCCGCGAGCGAGTAGTGTCTCAAGAACATGAGCTGCAATAAAGCCACTTCCACCAGTGAGGAGAATGCGAGTCATGATTGTTGTCAAATTGAGATGTGAAGTTCTGTCTCAAGAAGAGGTCAGTGCATCAGAGAATAAACAATATTAGTTTGTTATGCGGAATAGTTCCAATAGAATCCATGGGTACGAATGGTCTTCTATATATACCCTCGTCAATCCGAGGACTATCACCGCTATTCCCGTTACTTGTGAATATAGCAGTTTATTCCGGCAATCGGACGTTAATCTCCAGCCCTGTCGGCCCACATGGGGGCCAGTCGGAGTTACGGGAGCGCCTATTTGCGAACCCGGGAAAGAAAATGGCCAATCCCTGGTGTTTATAACAGCCACATCGGTTGGGTAAGCACTACTGTCCCGGCGGGAAACCATTATTGAGATTGGCTCCGTTTGCTCTCAAACGAACGGTTACGCGCGATGAATCCGCACACAATAGTTAAGCAAATTAGCACTTTCGGTTTACGGACGCATCTCAACAGTTAGCGGACTCGCAAATTGCCCAACTCTGACGCTAATAACCCAGAAGAATTAAGACAATTATGAGTTATCGTGAACTAGGCTACACTGACAAGACAGGCGACATATAGCGACGACAATCCCTAGCCTAGGACCCGTCCATCAAGTTCGTGGCAATGGGCGTAAGCAGATAAGACAGGGTCAAGACTAGTAGAACGACATCGCACAGGCAGAGAAGGAAAGAGGGAACGTGGGAAACGAAGAGGACGATATAGACACAGCGCTTGGGAGGATGGAAGAGACAAGACAGGTTGAACAATCATGCGAAACGAGCTTTCGCGTTTGAAATCTTGAGAGACACAAGGCGAAAAGAGAGAGAGCAAGAGACAGAGAAATAATCATGAAGGGAAAGGCATGATCAAAGGAGGCATATGTGAAGATGATATGTGCAAGAGACAAGGGAGGGAGAATCAAGTCTTGGAGGTCAAGTAATCCGCCGCCTGATGTTCACGTTAGTCAATTGCCATGAGAATCAGAATGCAAAGGAGGCACATACCTTGTCAAGGTTGTAATCGAATTTTTCCAACGCGATCAACGACTCATTGCGCGGGAAACCCATACCAGTGAGACGCTGAAGGATCAAATCATCTTCGCCGGAGTCGTTGTTGAGAGCCCAACCGGGCTGCTTCTCCTTCGCTCCATTGGTCTCCTCGCCGGTGTGAGCTTTCGCGCCATCGAGGGGCGCAAAGAGAGCGTCCCAGTCATGACCACCAGCCTTGGATCCATCTCCGCCCGAGGTAACCGCTTGAGCGGCAGGAGCTTGGACATTGTTTTCGAACGAGAAGAAATCAGAGGAGCCGGCCTGACCCGCGTCGCTGGGCGAAGCCATGTGCTGTTTCTGAGCCGGCGAGTCGAAGGAGAAGTCAAAGTCAGCGGCGTTCTTGGTATCGTGGTTCTCCCGGTCGGACTCTTCGTCGTCGTCGGCATCCTGCGCAGGGGCGAGATTATGTCCGGCAAAGGCGGCGGCAAAGTCTGGAACTCCCGTCTTGGCCGTGGTAGTCGGCTCCGCGGCAGCATCTCGCTGCGGCTCATTATCCACTACAGGCGCCCCACTAACCGATTCTATCGAGTGGGGGGCATCGGGAGCAGCAGTAGGATCAGAGCGCTCGGGGAGAAGCCCGTCGAACTCTGGCGGAATGTGGCTAGTGTCTTCCTTGGAGACAGTCTCATCGTACTTGGGAGGACTGGGTTGGGCCTCGGCCGCAGGAGGCTGACTCGAAGAACCAACGGTTCCAGGGGTCGGGAAAGCTGCCAGCTGAGCGGCGTCAAGAGACTGTGCCGGTTTCTCTGCCTTGGGCGAGACAGGTGTGAAGTTGTCATCAAAACCCAGGGGCCCTTCATCATCAGAGCTTTCGTCATCTTCGTCGTCATCATGGTGGACTTCCTGGATGGGAGGGAATTCAGATGGAGCTGCGGCTGAGGTCCCGTTCGTTTTCTCCGTCGCGGAACCCTGTTTCATGCTTGCAAAAGCCTCCTCGAAATCATTTGCATTTTGGGACACCGATCGCTTGTGAGCCTTGCTGCCAAAGAGTTCGTCAAATGTGAGATCGTCCTTGCCTTCAGCCTGAGTCTCAGTGGGAGAGACTGTCGAAGCAGCAGAGGGAGGAAGCTCCTGAGATTGGCTCATCATCCCCGGGACTTCATCAAATGGAGACCGGGCTGGGATACCCTCTACAGTCGAAGGTGGAGCACGGCTGTAGTCGCTGGAATCGGCAACTGACGGGGGCCCAATATCGCTAGTGGCTGCTTGCGATGGGGTTGCTCTCCCCGGGGTTTCAGGGCCCCCAAATCGACTGCCGGGAGGCGACACCATAGTAGATGATGTCACTGACTGGTTCTCATGGAAAGGAAGAAAGTTTGGGGTCATCTGCCGCGACTGGCTTGGAGCCGGGGGTTCAATAGGCGAACCGGTTGGGAAAGCCCCAGGCAAAGAGCCAGGCAAAAAGGTAGCAGGAGGGGGGGAGACAGACGGAGTGGACATAGAAGAGCCAGTAGACTGAACAGTGGATGGCTGGGCTGAAGGCGAATCGGAACGGAACGAGGTTGGCGGCGCGCCTGCAGCAGGGGAGGCCGCAAACGACTGGCCGAAGAGGCTGTCAAATGCCTTCTGCTGGTCGCTCGAGACTTCGGGCGAGCGAGCACGCTCGCTTGAGTTGCCCGTCATAGTTCTCCGGAAGAATGGATTCGTGTTCTGGCTAACAGAAGAAGCAGCTGGGCTGGTGACCTCAGGCACACTGCTGGCCTGCGTGGCAGATTCGTCCGTATACTGTGGGGTCTCCTTCAAAACGCTATCAATCTCCTCCTGCATTTTATCCCGTTCACCCTCAACAGTGGCCAATTGCTTTTTATTGATTGCCACTAGACCTTTCTGCTGTCGAGCGCCAGAGCGCGCCTTCTCCAGCGCCGGCTTCAGTTGGGCAACTTCAGCATTGGCTTGACGAATCTTTTCCTTGAGGCTGGCATTTTCCTGTTGGTCGGCAGTCAAGGCCGCGGAGACTTGGTTGTACTGGTTCTGCAAATCCTGGCGGCTGCCGTCGAGCAGAGCATATTGCTGGCTGAGCTTCTCAGTCTCAGCCTTGGAAGCGTTTAGCCGTTCTTCGAGGGTTTTGAAGTTCGCCACCTCCTGCTCATACATGGCTCGCGCTTGGGCCAGTCGCGCCTCAAAGTCTCGCTTTTGCTGTGATGTTTGCGAAAGATTCTGTTCGGCCGAATTTCGCTTTTCCTGCACAGTGTGCATCTCCTTCGCCAATGAGCCAATTTGATTGGAAAGGTTTGCCAGCTCAGTGGTCTCCTGGGTAAGCTTCTTCGACTCTTCCGGGTCGTTGTCGCCAAGCAGATCATCCGATGGAGGCGGGGATCGAGGAGTAACGGAAGCGCCAGCCGATGCTCCTGTCACTTGGGGCTGCAAGCTTTGGCCAAAGGTCGAGGTAGGAACAAACGGCTTGAAAGTGGATGACGCCATCGGAGGGGAGGCTCTAGAGGATGGCGACCCAGGAGTTTGAAACACGTTGTTGGATCCGCCAGTGGACTGGGGCATCTGCGGCTGGGGAGCCGGCGGACTATCCAGACCGAAGAGATCGTCGGCAGCGGAACGCACCGAAGGAGGAGCTTGAGGCGGAGGGGCAGGGGCCGGAGCCGGGGCCGCCGCTGGGGAGGCTGGCTGGCGGCGCATGTTGGGAGGGATCAGAGCAGGCGGCAGGACTTGAGGCAGTTGGTCCTTGCCACTCCGCTGCATGCGAACCAGGTACATGGCGACGGCGAATTCCTCTCGAGTCAACTGGCCATCGGCATCGATATCTGCAAGGTCCCAGATTTGCGCCAGCATCTCCTCCGGTAATTGTGCCTTCATAAAGAAAGCAACGGCCTGGTCACCCGTGATCATTCCCACCTTGCCAGTGTCGACAGTTTCGAAGATGGTATCAAAATGTGCCTTCTCCTGCGGTGTGATAAGCCAGTCTCCGGTAGGCTGGGCTGAGATCGGGCTTCCGAATGTAGGTCGACCACCTGTGCTCATAGGGCTGGCAGTCCGATGAGGACCACCAGAAAACTGTTTTGGAATCGCTGGCACAGGGGGAACATCCGGCCGAGAGCCGAAGGAGGACCGCGCGGAACCGCGACGAGCGGCCGCATCGTATAGCCCTGGAGGCAGTGTCTGCGGAATTCCTCGCAAAGCGCCAGACTTGTACGAGGTCAGAAGGTGCATAGCAATGATGAACTCGGTGGCATCGAGGGCGCCACGCTGTCTGGTGTCCGATAAGCCCCATATCCGGCCGAGGATCTCGTTTGGCAATCTTGCCCGTTCAAAGATTTGCCGCGCCGCTTCGCCTGTAGTGACCAATCCCAATATTAGAATACCGAAATCAATGTGGACTTAGATTGGCTACTTGCCTGAGAGAAGACCGCTGGCAGTATCTGACTTCTCGAAAAGGGAGACAAATTTATTGGCATCTTCGGCAGTCAAGGGAGGCACGCGAATAGGCCCAGCAGAACTCGGGGGAGGACTCGTGGTGCCAGATTCCGGTGTAGTGTCAACGGTAACCCCTTCGAATCGGGGTAGGGGACCAGCTAGAGCGAGAACAAAATCAGCAATTTATCGGGTTGTAACTTCGGAAAACAACACTCACGTTGCAATGCCAGCTCCTCGGAAGGATGGCGACCAGCCTGTGCATGTCCGATCAATCGCAGGACAATGCCAAAGCCAGAGGGAGTCAAAAGACCCCTGTTTTCTCTATCCGCGATCTGCCATATCTGCAAAAGGTGGAAGGACAGTCAGTCACAGCCCTCACATTCGGTGTCTCGTATTCACATACCAGACCAAGAGTATCAGGCGCTAGCTTTGTCTTCTCGAAGAACGGGACGGCGATCTCGCCGGTGATGACGCCGAGGTTGGTGGTATCGGCGGCCTGGAAGAACTGGTAGAACACGCGCTTCTCCTCAGGCGTGAGGTTGAGATTGGGATGTCTTTGAGCTGTACGATTGACGACCACGTGTAATTGTCAGCTTCAGTGCTTTGCGCATGGGGATGGATGCGAAATGGACAGGCAGGCGCAGAGGGGAGTCGAGTCGACCTCCTCATCTGCGCCCAGAGCTCCTTTGGAGGTTGTCAAAACAAAATCGAGATATCACTTACCACTGTCAGCCATGGCTGGGACCTAGGAGGAGGCTAACTCCCCTCCTACCAGATGAGTTCACAAAAGTCGGGGTTCCCGGAGGGACAGGTTGGAGGAACACGCAATGCCGTCAGCAGAGTGCGGGAGACCACGAGCATGAATGGGAAGCCCAAGCGCAGCTGCAGAAAGCGGTGGAGATAAAAAGAGACTCGGGGGGAGTGAATGGCAATGGCCAGAGGCAAGGACATGCAAGTGGTGCCTGGAATGAAGATCCAGAGAGGCTGGAGTCGATGTCGTAACGGGGGAAGCTGCGGAAGGCGGTCAGTCGGGTTAGCGCCCATTCCCATATTAGAAGCGTGCTAAGTCCACACCATTTTATGCCATGACGGTGTTTTGGTAGAATTATGCAGATAGGCTGGAAATTATTATTGAATATTCTGGTAGTTTTATCAAGTCCCTGCAATGAGGGGGAGTTGTGGTGTGCCCGGATCCAAAGAAGCGCAAGGAAGTAGGGCTAGTCCATACCGTACATACGCCGAGGCAGAAACAAAAAAGGCAAGCCATAAAGCACCACGATATTGAAGGTGTTCTGAGTGCAAATAAGGTGACTAACTAGTTATATCTAGGGCTGGTGATCGGCAATCGATACTTACATAGAACAAAGCGCCCAACTCTATATCCATCAGGATTCCGAGGGCAAACACGGTGCAAGGATATGCTCACTTCTTATCTCGAAGTAAAGGCAGAAACGAAAGCCGCATGTCAAAAAAGTATACAGATCAGGACCGGTGAATTTCCTCCTGTTAGGTTTCCGATTCATGTGTTGGCGCGGCAATATATAAACTTTTACGCCAAGTCATACGATTAACTGTGATTCTTACGCAAGTGGGTTTCATTGTAGTATAGCAAGAACGAAGTAAAAAAGGCATTGGAATCAATAGGAACCGGTCCAAGTGAGGCACGGCGCGCTGTGGATGGGCTCGACAGTAAAAGAACGAAGAGCGCAAGCATAGCAGGCAACAGGAGCACTAGGAGGAGGCGCTAAGAATCATTGTAGCCGACGGGAGTTCCATCAGGGCAGAGTCGTACGAAGGGGTAGTTGGAAGTAGAAAATCCATCGAACACCATGTTTGCCGCCTTAAAAAACTCCAGTGTCGTGTCAGCATCATTATTGCAGATGGGCCCACACCACTGCACATTAGATGATCCATATGGCTGTAGGATACTAGACTTTCCGGGGTAGTTCTGGTCGACAGCAGCGCTAATATCACAGACGGGGATCGTCCACAAGCCTTCTATCGCGTTGCCGTCATATAAGGGGTTTTGTCCGGAGCTTATCATTCCCGACATTTGGTCTTCCCATTTTTGGGTAGTGTAGTTGTTACCAGCGGCTTGCCAAGATTTGACCGAGGAGATGACGGCGTTCTGTGTTGACCACATCAGTTATCAAGATCGAAACAGAAAAGCAGGTGATACCTACGTAGGGATTGAGGTTAGTGTAAAAATTTCCACCTCCGCCTTGTGCCTGGTACGCAGGGTTGTCACCCATTCGGTCTGATCCCCAGGGCCGAGCAACCCATGCATTAGTGTTTTGTGAGCCCTGACCGGAAATGCCGTTGCCTTTCCACTGGTAAAAGTAGAGATACCAGGCCTTGTTGTTCTCGTCACACCACCAGATAATGCTATTGTCGTCCTTCGGTCCAGTGTTTCCGATGCCTTGGTCTTCTGCGCAGTCGGTCCCGCCGAGGATGAATACCATTTGCTCGCGCCACACGTAGTTGATGATTGAGGACTCGAACACATCCGTGATGTTCTGGATTAAATCGGCCGAGTGTGACATCAGAAAGGTTCCATCAGTAAAGACGCTGGCGATGTCCTGGTTATTTCCACTCGTGATGTTATTGTATAGATTTTCGATTGCCTGATAGCAACCCTGGTAAACCTGGCTCATCTGGTTGCCTGCATTGCCTGCCTGAACCATGTAAGGATCCTCCCTATCAAAATCAGCATCTATGACCATTAGTTAGTTGAACAAATCCTTACTTTGGCAAGGAGTTCAGTCCCTCGGTCACACCGCCGCCGAACAGGGTGGATAGAGCAGCAGTTGGCCCTGCTGCTATGCCAGTTGCAAAAGAGGCTACTAGACCAATAACGATTGCCAGAGCACGCAGACCGTTAGTCAGATCGAGGCTCGAGGTATCTGACTGGTACCAGAAGTCGCCGATGATGCCGTCTAGAGCGGAAGTGGTTTCTCCAACAGCACTGTTAAACAGCGTTTGCATTTCGGTAAACGCCTGGTTTAGATTGACGATAGAGTTGCCCACATTGGAAGCTTGCTGGGCGGTGTTCCCCTGGGAATTATCGCGAGCTTGTAGATCGGCAATCTTAGAAGTCGATTGACTAGGTTTCATGCATGGCAGTGTACAAGTTTTGCCGAGCTCGCAGGTCCACCCTTGTTGGCCCAGCACCAATTCGCCAAACGCGCTGATAAATCCGCGGCTGCTGATTGCGTCCGCATTGGTCTTCAGCCAACTGCTCAGCCATGAATTCGTACTGGCATCCTGCCAATCCTGTTGGGTGGCATCGGTGAGAGGTATGCAGCGGGTGGAGTTCGGTCCATGCGGGAGGGAACTGTTGCTGGAAGTTCCACGATGAAGGTACTGATCATGAATCAGCCCGGCCTCGCCGAGAGCAGCCAGCGAGAGGACGGCTGCTGCCGTGGTTACCAATTTTATAGCAGAAGGCATGACGAAGGACCTCTTCCAAAAGGATGTGGGAGGTCAGATGGTACAGTTGGGTAGTCAACGAGTAGACAGATATGAAGCATCTAGTATCGTCTCTGCTTGTCCCTTTTATATGTCCTCCTCTCATTTGGCCCCTTTCCCATTGCCGTGATAGTCCTAATGAGTCTACGCTAAATGCTCGCGTGCTACCGGTATGGATTCCTCTCCGGTCCGGTCATTTGCCCCCTGTGTGTAAGGCCTAGCTGATCCTTGAGAAGATCGTCGAGAATAATGGCTGAGTAGTCTTGCGTCGAGGGGGTTTCAAGTTGAAATGGGGGCCATATCAATTCTGTCACTTCGATAAGGAGCTGACGACATTAAATTTACGATCTGCCATCTAACAATTTCCCCAGAACAACCGCGGACTTATATGAGGGAAGCAGCTCAACAGCTGTGTGCAAGTACATCTTGTAGACTTGAACTCACAGGTCTTTAACCCAACCGTTTATCAGAATTTCCCCAGATTCACGATCATCGGATTACCGGACTTTTGCGGGCTTGCGAACGTCCCTGCTGGACAAAATCCTTTCTCCCAAGTATACGAACGGAAAAGTTTCCCCATACAAGTCGTTAACCTCGGGGACGACAAACCCGTAGATCATAGCCTTAATGGTAGTCTAAATTGCTCTAGAAAATATGATCTATTTCTGACTAGGGTGATATTCATTCATTCACGACGTTCTTGGGATAACCGAATAGGGAGCCTTCCATTTAGAATTCACTAATAATCTGGGGAATTACCGGTACCTGTTGCCCGGCCCGGTGTGGGTTCCATCTCGTATAGCTACCGTCGGCTGCATCCTGCAGAAGTATGTGCCACGCGCAGCCGCGCTAAGACGTTAGCGCGCTGTCAGTAGACCATAGCGGCCCTCGCTCCTAATGAGAGGGTATTTCCTCTCAACAGACAAATGCTTGAAAGCAAGGCTAATGCAAGTATATAAATGTTGCGACAAATCTTCAATAACATAAGGACATCGATGCCGCTCATATAGATCCTATGCTGCCGATTCCTACATAATTTTACCTACAACATATAGAGTTTCCCAAGGCGTATACCCGCCCCCAAGGCGGATTCCCAACCGCCACCACTGCGCAGCAGTTTGGGGTCCGACTTGAGAGCGGGTACCACTTAACCATACCTTTATCCTTAATGCTTACGCGAGTCATGTGTATGTTCGTATAATCGCTTTTGGGTAGGATCTTCTGGAAGATTTTGTGGTTTCACATTGATCCGTTGTTTCACCGGTCAGCCTTAACTTCTCCGGTCTACGACGCGCTGCCAGTTCGTATAGCATGTATCTCAAAGGGGAACTTTTGCACTGCCACAATATGTTTGAACTCCGCACGCTTTCAAGCAAAGGTCCCTAAGGGTGGGAGAAGGGCACGCTTCCCCAATTTCGAGTCACTGAGCGAAGCGAGGAGCTCATATACTACAAAGTGACATTGATTAGGAGTTGACGTTTAGTTAAGGGTTGCTATTATATATTTGATTAAGAGTCGGATTGGATCTAAGCTATGAATAAATCAATCCTCGAGTGCGTGCTTATCTGTGCGGCTAGGAGAGAGAGAGAGGAACGATGTGCATTCTAAGTAGCGGATAAGAATCCAAGAGAAGTATGCAATCGAGAAAGTCTTCATTGACTTGATTCACTGATTTGATTGATACTATTAACAACTCCGTAGGCCTTTGCGAGAAGTTAGCTAACAAGCTCAGGAGCTTCAAACTCGAATTGCTCTATCCATTCCTGCCAATTTCTAACTTTTGAACGTCAAATTAATAGAACAACACTATCCAGGGTGTTTGACAACTCTTTCACGGCAATGGCAGGCAGTCCAGGGTACACATCCATCTTCGAGCTCATTCTTGTTGCTTATAGATGAGACTTGACTACATGTGTTATCAACGTATTTCCCGAATTGCAAAGGAACTAGTTACATAGCATTTACTTGTGAGGGGAGTAGTAGGCATGTATATTCGGTTAAGTACAGATGCTGAAACAGTAGCGATGAGGAGGGGGCAACAAGGTAAATATCCAATTGTAGTAGAAATGATTCTCGGGAAAAGACAGGGAGAGAGTGGAGTGAAGTGAGATAATAATTGGCGCCGTGTGTGAATAATAACGCCGTTTCCAGGGTAAGTAGTAGTCATTTTAGGCCCCGATTCCACAGGTATGTAGATGTAATCTGGGACGAGGTCCATCTAGGCGGAAACAAAAGCAGTAAGCCATAAATTGCTTTGAGATTCAAGAAGAGTATTGTAGGTGTGAGGTGACTAGCTATAGTTAGGGACTGATCATTAGTAGTCGGTGCTTGAATGGAAACACAGACCGTAAGGTGTCTGCTTCTATATCACTTAGTATTCGGAGGACCAATGGACATGTCAACATCTAATCTCGAACTAGACTGTCATGCAACCTACGCCGAGGTCTATCGAGGGAGAAACAAAGACAGCAAGTCAGAAAAGAGAATTGTTTTTGTGATTTTGTAATTACATCGAACTCGCCCAAGTCACGAAGGTGGAACGTACGGGGTAGGGGGGTGAAATTCATCGCCTTTGGGGATATTAAAGATATATCAAACAAGAGCCAGACAACAAAGCACAACATCATCTGCTTCCAAGGTTTCCCTTCTATTTGCAAGACAGACAGACGGGACAGCGCGGGGGATTACGCCGTAGCTGGGAGGTTACGATGTGGACCATAACCACCACACCACAACAGCAAGCCCCGGGACCGGTCACACAACATCTTCAACAATCTAGTACTCGGGCTCCAGCTCCTCCTCCTCGAGCGAGTCGCTAGCGACCTCCTCGTAGTCACGCTCCAGAGCAGCCAAGTCCTCACGAGCCTCGGAGAACTCACCCTCCTCCATACCCTCACCGACATACCAGTGGACGAAGGCACGCTTGGAGTACATGAGGTCGAACTTGTGGTCGAGAGCGGACCAGGCCTCGGCGATGGCAGTGGTGTTGGACAGCATGCAGCTGGAATGGTGTTAGGATATTTCAATCAAGTCAGGGGGCAGAAGGCGAAACTTACACAGCGCGGTTGAGGTTGGCCAGGTCGCCGTTGGGCACCTGCTGCGGGGGCTGGTAGCAGATACCGAGCTTGAAACCAGTGGGGCACCAGTCGACGAACTGGATGGTGCGCTTGGTCTTGAGGGTGGCCACGGCACCGTGGGCATCCTTGGGGACGACGTCACCACGGTACAGCAGGCAGGTAGCCATGTACTTGCCGGTGCGGGGGTCACACTTGACCATCTGGTTGTGGGGCTCGAAGCAGTTGGAGGTGATCTCGGTGACCGAGTGGGCCTCGTGGGCGGCCTTGTCGGCAGAGATGATGGGCGAGTAGGCAACCAGAGGGAAGTGGATACGGGGGTAGGGCACCAGGTTGGTCTGGAACTCGTTCAGGTCGACGTTGAGCGAGCCGTCGAAGCGCAGGGAGGCAGTGATGGACGAGACAACCTGAGCGATCAGACGGTTCAGGTTCTCGTAGCTGGGCAGCTCAATGCCGAGGTTGCGACGGCAGATGTCGTAGATGGCCTCGTTGTCCACCATGAAGGAGCAGTCGGAGTGCTCCAGGGTGGTGTGGGTGGTCAGGATCGAGTTGTAGGGCTCAACAACCGAGGTCGCGTTCTGGGGGGCCGGGTAGACGCAGAACTCCAGCTTGGACTTCTTGCCGTAGTCGACCGACAGACGCTCCATCAGGAGAGCACCGAAACCGGAACCAGTACCACCACCGAAGGAGTGGAAGACCAGGAAGCCCTGGAGACCAGCGCAGGAGTCGGCGACGCGGCGAACCTTGTCGAGCACCTGGTCGATCATCTCCTTGCCGACGGTGTAGTGGCCACGGGCGTAGTTGTTCGAGGCATCCTCCTTGCCGGTGATCATCTGGTCGGGGTGGAAGAGAGCCCGGTAGGTACCGGTGCGGACCTCATCGACGACATTGGGTTCGAGATCGCAGTAGATGGTACGGGGCACATACTTGCCCTGGCCTGTGAAGGTGGGGGAGGAATGTTAGCCATGCCGGCATTTCTCGAGCGGGGGGGAAGAACACGAGGGGGCGGAAAATTAAATTTTGAAGTATAGCATACCAGTCTCGGAGAAGAAAGTGCTGAATCCGTGGTCGGGATCGGCCTTCTTGCGCTCGTCGGTGAGGAATCCGTCGGGCTGGACAATAGTCAGTCGGTGTCGCGGGTATTGGGCATCGCGGGAGGGAAAAGGGGTATGCATCCCGCGTCAACCCCCCCGACCGCCACCACAAGCTGTGGTGCAATTTCAACGTACCTGAATACCGTGCTCCAGGCAGTACAGCTAGAAAGAGGCGTGTTAGTCTACTCCAGTTCCTGACCCATCACCATTGCCAATGGGGATATTTACCTCCCAGCAGGAGTTGGCGATCTGGCAACCGGCCTGACCGACTGTTGAGGCACCACCAATGTCAGTCAAGCCATTCATCAAAATAAATAGAAACAAAAGACGCAAAACACGTAGGACGGCATCACTCACCGTTCAAACTGATGATCTCTCTCATTTTGTCGAGTCCACCGAGTGTGGTTGTTTGAAAGTTAGGGGAGGGGAAACACGGAAAAGGAGACCCAACAACAAACACGGGGTGTCTGCGGATGAGGGACGATAACAAGTCAGCGGGAGGGAAATCGAAACAAGGGGGAGGGGCAAGGAAGGGATACCAGAAGCGGCTGGAATGGAAGAGATGGAGACGAAGTAAGTCCAGGAGGGAAAAACACACAGAAATGTTGTTTGTGGAGGAGGAGCGTCTGTGCTAAACAGGGGGGGAAATACAGATGTTGTTGGGTCGCGTTGTGCTCTCTCATTGGTGTGTGGCCGACCGGGTTCACCGCCAATTACTAAGGCGGGAGGTCATGTGACCGATGGATGACGATCGGCCTGCGAGGGGAGCATTTACGTTCATGTGGTGTGTCCGATGTTCAAGATGAGTGCAAATGAATTGACATGCACCGGAAGGAATTGCCAATTGATTTAATCTAGCAGTGTGGTGACCCGCCGGATATGTCATAGCTGCTACCGCGCTCTCATCTTGATCCAACGCGTCTTCTCGCCAGGCCAAGCTTGCCTGTAAAGTATATCCTAACTCCGATAGAACCATGCTAACCCATTCTCTAGTACACACAAAATACAAACGGCTGGCCATACCCGCCGGCTAAGAACATCTGGACCATGTTTCACTTCATCACCATCGGGATCCTACTCCCGCTCATATCAACCCTCGTCCAGGCCAACGTGGAGAAAACCATCTTCCTAGCACCACCAGGCTCAACAATTCCCTCGGTGGAACCAGAGCTGGACGATCTAGGTCTGGAGCGTCTCTCGCCGCACCGCCCCGTCATCCGAACAGGCCTCAATGCCTCGTTCCCCACGACAGCAGCACCAGAGGGCACCGACTCGTGGTTCTTCGTGGAGAACCTCAAACCAGGACAGCGATATGAAATCCGTGTCTGCTGGCTAGCAACCGTATGTCCATTACACTATTCCCTTCTTCCGCTCCTCCATACAAGTCTAATCTACTCATGCACAGCAACCAACATCATTCAAACTCTCCACCCACCCCCTAGCAGAAACGTTTGAAACCCCTTCCCTATTCACCTCCCTCAATGTTTTCTCTACAGCCCGCCTCTCATCCCTCGACTCTCCCCTGCAAGCAAACACCATCCCGCTCCGTGCCAACTCCCATGGGACAGGCAGCAGCGTGCTCGACCCAGCGCCAACCACGGACTCGGTCTTGTTTCTGCGCGTGCAAGCCGCGGCGGATTACTTCACCACGGATGAAGCGCTGATGCGCGATGTACCCCCCGTCGGGGTGGATCTGATTCTGGATCCGTTTTTGTTGAATGTCTTCCCGCGCTCCTTGGTGCCTACGGCAGGGTGGATTGTTGTTGTGGCTGTTTTGGCGGTCTTTGTTGCGCGGTGGGTGAGTGGGGAGGTTGGAAGAGTTGTTCAGGATGCGAGGAGTCAGCGCTTGCAGCCGGGTGGGAAGAAGGATAACTAGGTTAGACGGCGGCATTGTACTCGTGGTATTGTTTTTTTTTTTTTTTTTTTTTTTTTTTTTTTTTTTTGATAATCTCTTCGTTTCGTGTATGAATATATAACTTCTGCCTCGTTAGGGATAGTGTAGCGAACTAATATTGCTCAATTACACCTGTATAATGGAGGCTTTGACCCAAGTGAAATTTTATAGGAGCTACCGCCAGAACAATCATTTGCGCAGCGTGCTTGCGTCCTGAATACAACTATCTTCCGAAATAGACAAGTAATCCACGCTGGTTATATATCGAGTGCAATACAAGCAACATTGAAACTTCATGGCAGCAGCAGCAGAGACAGATACATGCAGTGGGTGGATACAGGAGACAACTAGTAACAGCAAGAGGGGAATTGGAGGTATTGGGAGAGGGAATGGTTAAATAGCCAAACAAAACAAGAGAGCAGATCCAACGCCATCAGCCAAAAACATCAAATTCAACTTTCACAAACTCTCCGACTCTTCAGCCAGCTCTTGTCGTATATTCTATGTCTTTCCTTCTCTTTTCCTTCTCCTTTCTTCCAGCGCTCTGGTTGAGATGACCAGGCAAGACAAGACAAACTTCTGCCTGCCTGCCTGTCTATCACACCGAAAACCAAAAATGACAAGTAAAATCCGTCGTAAATTCCCATCAGATCGTGGGCTCGTAGGAGATGAATACGCCAACACTCCCTTAATCCTCAAAGAAGTTCAGAATGGCGCGGATACCCTTAGACCCCAGGCCGTGGGCCGGGTAGGAGATATACAGCGGATCTTCGGTAGCGCCCAGTTTAGCGCGGAACTCGCTCTTGCGCACGAGGTGGAACTGCTTCGCTAGAGCATCGTACGTGTGCTCCAGCATCTTGACCTTGGCGCCGTGCATGTTGTGGCCTGGAATGAGGTGGGTGGTGGCGCCGGCGCCGAAGGTGAGGCTCTTGACGCCGGCCTTGGCAGCTGTCTGGATGGCGTTCGTGACGATGTATTCGATGACCCCATTGGGCGAGCCCGGGAAGTCGAGACTGTATTTGACCTGCATGCCGTGCTCGGGAGACAGCATTGCCAGCGCCACGAAGGCGCAAATCTTGCCGTCCGCGTCGGTTGCCCAGAAGTACCAGCGGTGCTCGGAGTCGCACCACGGTCGGATCTCGGATAGATGCACTTGCGTGCCTTTGCGGTTGGCTAGCCACTCATGGATGCGTTCTTCGATCTTCTTTTTCACGTCGGCGGGTGGCAACTCGCCTTGGCTCGCTGAAGACACCTTGATTCCCTCGTTCTCGGCACGGCGGAGCTTGCGGGAGATCTCACCATCAGAGGCGGCCAGGTTGCGGTGGGGGTCAACGCGCTCCTCGGCGATACAGGATAAGCTGCGCCAACCCAGACGCTCGCCGAGGATAGTCTCAACTTCGGGCGAGCACAGAAGCCACACCGGTTTGTATTTCGTATCGCGGCGCAGCCACTGCAGGAACTGAGTGATGGTGCGTGTGTACTGACTCTTGTCACAAAGCGGATTGCCCGGAATGATCACGTAATTGCTGGAGCTGGGTACGTAGGCGACGGCGGCACCGGTGGCCATGTCCCGCCAGACCTTGTACCGGTCATCGAACCAGGAGGTTGACGTGGCATCACCGTAGTTGGCGACTAGCTTTTCCAGCGGCTGCAGCTCACTCTCATCCTTCGCCACGCCGCCGGTCTTCTCTCGCTTCCACCGGGGCTCCAGTGTCGAGCAATCCGGGTGGCGGAGTTGCTGCACAGGGGGTTTCGCGGGCAGACTCTTCGGATCGCGGTAGAAGAGCGAGGTGAGGCGGATATTACCCACCTTGAGCAGAAGCATCAGCAGGCGCTCAAGACCAACACCAGCGCCTGCGTGCGGTGGCGCACCCCAACGGAAAGCTTCCATGTACTCCTCCATGTCGTCCGGATCGATTCCGACGCGGCGCATGTTCTCTTCGAGCATTCGAGGCTCATGGATACGCTGGCCACCCGACACAATCTCCTGGCCGCGGATGAACATGTCGAAGGAGTTGGTGTAGTTGTCATCTTCGGGGTCGGGCATGGTATAGAAGGGGCGAGCACCGCGCGGAAACTTGTCCAGGACGTAGTAGTCGGTGCCGTACTGTTCCTTGACCAGCTCACCCAGACGCACCTCATCGCGCGTGGCCAAGTCCTCATCCAACGGTAGCTCGTCGCCATCTTCGTTCCTCCAGCCCGAGTCGTTGAGCATCTTGATACCATCGGCGAAGCGGATGATCGGCGTCTTCTCCAGCCACACGACATCCTCCGAGGGGAACTGATACTTGACCAGCTCGATCTCTCGGCGGTACTTGGTGTAAATACCGCTCAGAATATTTTTAATCACGGCGTCAAGCGTCTCCAGCATCTCGTGGTAGTGTTCTTCAATGGCCATCTCGATGTCCAGTCCCGTATACTCCGTCAGGTGGCGGTGGGTGTTGGAGTTCTCGGCGCGGAAGACGGCACCAATCTCATAAACGCGGCCAAAATCGGAAGCAATAGCCATCTGCTTGGCCAGCTGCGGTGACTGGGCCAGGAATGCCGGTCGACCGAAGTAGTTGACTTGGAAGACACTGGCACCGGACTCGGTGGCGGAGCCCTGCAGCTTGGGCGTGTGGATTTCGATGAATTCACGCTCATCCAGAGCGGTGCGGAACAGGTTGCAGGTGGCCGACTGAAGTCGGAAGATAGACTGCGAGGTGGCAGTGCGTAGATCCAGCAGACGGTTTGCCAGACGAGTGCGGTCGGGAATATGACTGCGTCGGCCTTCGGCCTTCTCCTCTTCGGTGGTGCGGATCTCGGCCTCGTAGACACTGAAGGGGACCGGCTCCTCACGCCGCACCAGGAGATGCAGCGACTCAACCGACAATTCCACATCATGAATGCTGCAGCCCAGCACGGGCACGTCGGGTGCTTGCACAGTACCCCGGACGCGAACGAAGGACCCCACGCGCAGGTGCTCGGCCCATTGGATCATGACCACGGACGAGATCCCTTCCTTCTCGTGCAGCACACCCTGGAAGGTATGGAGCTGCTGGCGGAAGACGAGGAACACCAGCTTCGAGCTGAGGCGGCGCACGACGTGCAGCCTGGCCGTAAAGAAAATCTCCTTGCCGACCATTGCGGCCGAGATCTCGTCGAACCGCGTGCGGTCTTCGCGTGGGCGATCCTGCGACTGCATGAGGGGCAGCTCGCCATACCGGGCCTTCATCTCGGCGGTCTCCTCTTCCGCCGCACGGGCGATCTCTATCGTCTTCCGGCGCGGCTCGGGTTCGGAGAACTGCTCCTCGCTGAGCCGGCTACGCTGTTCGCTGCGACGCTGCTGACGCACTAATCGTTTCTGCTGGTTCTTGCTGAGGGCACCAGTCGAGGACGAGTCATCAGAGACATCCTCGGACGAAGAGACGTAGTCGCGATCGCGCAAGAAGTTGCTCAGGATGCTGCGGCGGGGGAAGCCGGGGAGTGCGCAGTGCGCGACCTGGGCGACAGGGTCGAGCGAATGCCTGACCTGGAGTCATCGTCGTTGTCACCCGGGCCACGGAAGGCCTTGGATAGGGCCCGCCTGATTGACATGGTGGGCAGATAGCAAAAGGGAGGGAGAGTGGAAGAAGAATGAAGGAATTCGAAAGGGTGATCCCGAGAAGAGGGCCAGCTGCGAACGGCAACGGGAACCCAGCACCACAAGGAAGAATGGATGCTCGGAAGCAGCCGGAGTATGAGAACTAATGATTTCGTGAGAAGAAGAACAATGTCTTTGATTATTGAGTAGAAGATCCTCTTCCGTTCAATGACATCATGGCGGCCGTCCTACCGGATTCCGCTTTCGAACTGATTCTTGTACTTGCTTATCGGTCTTGGCTGATGCTCTTCCCGATCACTCTCCTACTCTCTCCCACATCATTCACAACCAACTATTCCTCTCCCTCCCTCTCTCCCTCCTTCTCTCCCTCCTTCTCTCTCCTGCCAATCAGTTAATTCCTACCCAATTTCTCGTCGGCCCCAGCCCACCGTTCCAGCCGTTGGCCACCAAAAGACAATGGTCTCGCGCTGGTGGCTCCGAGTCCAGGCCGTCATCTGGCGGTCCCTGATGGGCATCGGAATGTTCTTGCACGATCTGGCTCCTCCGCGTCCTCGCCGACCTCAATTCACCCGCACCGTCAAGTCCGACCTCCACGGCCACACCGTCGTCCTCCACTTCTATTGCCCTCCAGACTACGCCCAGCAACGTCGACTTGGCCATCGGTACCCAGTCGCAGTCAATTTCCACGGCGGCGGCTTCACCCTCGGCTCCGCCACAGACGACGGCCGTTGGGCCAACTGCGTCGTGCAAGAAGTCGGCGCCGTGGTGGTCAGCGTCGGCTACCGGCTCGCCCCGGAGCACCCGTTCCCCGCGGCCGTGGACGACGGCGTCGACGCACTACTATACCTGGCCGCACACGCGGGTGAACTCGGCCTCGACGTCAGCCGCGTGGCACTGAGCGGGTTCTCGGCCGGAGGCAATCTATCCGTCACCGTGCCGCTGCGGCTGCACGGCCGGGTGTCCACGCAGGTCAAGGAGCGACTGGGGCGGTCGGAATCCACCCAGCAGCTCGTCGACCAGACAAACGACCTGCGCATCGTCGCGCTTTTCTGCTGGTATCCTATCCTCGACTTCCAGGAGTCGCGCGACCACCGCCGCGCCATGAGCAACAATCCCAACAAGACCCTGCCGACTTTCTTCACCAATCTCTTCGACGAATCCTACCTGCCTGATCTCGCCGACCGTGCTTCCCCCTTTGCGTCGCCTGTCTATGCATCTGATAGCGATCTCGCTGAGGCCCTGCCCCACGACGTCTACCTGTTTATCTGCGAGTGGGACATGCTCATGAAAGAGGGTCAGTCCTTTGTTCGACGCCTGGAGGGACTGGGGAAGCGGGTGCGGTCGATGATGATCGAAAAGGTAGTGCACGCTTGGGATAAATCGCCCAATCCGTTCCGCGACCAGGACAGCATTGATGTGCTGTATCGCGATGCGTGTGCGGACATGAAAGCGATTTTCGAGCGGTGATCATCCATCCAGACTTCATGTATACCTCGTTTTTCTGTGTACTTTCAGGCGTTAGCTGGGCTTCAGCATTATCGGCGTTGGTCTAGAGCGTCAGTTATTTATTGAAATTATCCTATTATCATGTAATGTGATGTTCCCGTTCCATATTCTTCAAAGATGTCATAGTTCAGGTACTTGAACAGCACCTACAACCACTGGATCTGACGATCCAGGGCAGAATCAGCCATTATTGGCTGGTCCCCCATCCCAGCAATTGCAGCAACCCCTGATTTTGGTAGCAGCACATCCACCGGAGGCAAAGAATATCCAAAACAAGGCACGGCTTGGTTAAACGCATACTTGACGTCAGCAGCATGCTTGAGAGGAACTGCACAGAGGTTGTTGCTTATCGGCTCTGCTTATCGGCTCGATATACGCTTATCTGATCTACTAATCTAAGGTTGTATGTACGACACCCGTTTTTGGTAGTTCAAATGCTGCTGCCTCGCCAACTTCCTTTTACTTGCACCTCTTCACCTCCTTTTTTCACTTTCCCACCTCTACCCATGCTCACTGCGCCATGCTACTGCCATGCCTGACCATCGTGTCGTCAACACTGCGGATGAGTCTGCGTACTCGGAGATTTCATCACAATATTTGATCGCAACAGAGCTTGAGCCCTTGCCCGATTCGACCATCCTCAGCCGCTCCCTCAGCTTGAAGTCGGTCATTTCCACAAGATCCTCCTTTGCCCGTCGTTCCCAAGCAGCGCGTATTCGCCCGGAGCTGCAAGACGTCAACCAGATCGGCGATGGCCTTCAAGGAGTGATCTTCGAACAAGTGGGACGGCCTTTGGTATTCAAGAAAGAAATACCGGGCAATGAAACTCGTTCATCAAACCTTCGCCACGAGTATGGCCTGCACGAAGAGGTCTCGACCGCATTCGCTCTTTATGACTCCAAGATACACAGCCACGTCCGCGTTCCGAAACCTCTAGAGTTCATTTCCAGGGCAGACGATGCCCACCGATTCTGGGACGTGCTGCCAAAAGTCCCTGCGCAGTATCGTGCGCGCGGGGACGTCGTGAAGATGGAACGCATTCTCCCTCTACCCAAAGTCGCTCGGAAAGCTTTGGTCGCCCACTTTTACGGCAAGCAGGGAGACAGCAGCACGGCGGACATTGAAGCTATCCTGAATGAAACGACCAACAAACATTGCCTGGTACGGCTGTATCTCGGAAAGGCTGACGGACCTCTCGCGCAGGGAAAGTCCCCATTGAGGAACTTCCCTCTCTACCTGAAGGCTATGGAGAAGCTTTCTATGGACGTCAACGGCCTTGCAAATGCGATGGGGAAGGCATTCGCAATCATGCACTGGGGTGCTGGAATAAACGGCGACGACGTGGAGTTTGTACTGGGCACGTCGGCCATCGGCACGGAAACAATTCCTCCAGACCTCCAACATCGAGCTGTTGGAATGTATCTTCTGGACTTCGGCCAGTGTGATGTGGTGGATCTCAAGCAGGAACCAGACGAGGTCTACCAAGCATTCAAAGGCGCCATGGTTACCGGCGACAATCAGAACTTCATCCCTAATTGCCAGAAGAGCCCATCTGTGTTTGCAGAGTTCAAGGACGGATACTTGCTGGCAGGAAAGACCATTTTGGAGGAGAAGGGAATGGCGGACAGGCTCAGCGTGGAGGATTTCATGCGTGAGTACGAGGAGTATGCTGAGGACTTCCTTTGATAGTGGCTTGAGGAACTCTATGCTTAATCACGATCAGACGATACATGATCATGTCGCTATAGGCAATTTAGCTTATGTGCAATGAATGATCCTTGTTCTTGCTCATGGTGTGCAATGCTATTTAAAGGGGAGCTGAGTTGTAGACGCAAAAAATTCCCATTTTTTAAATGACCGAGCTACTCTACCATCGTAGCTAGCACATGGTCAGAATAAGATACATTGTGGACATCAGTATCACATCACATCACAACACATCACAGCATAATCAGTCATCGAAGCATGGTATCAAGATCTACCAGTAGTAGAGACACGACAAAACATTGACACAAAAAACCACAAACGCCACGCTGAAACGACAGATAGAAACAATGTAGATCAAGACATGAAACCAGCTTCTGTAGATGACGGTCATTAATCCTCATCGGGCTTCTTCACTCCTCATCAGTTTCAGTGGCATCTTCCGCGCCGTCCTCACCATCTTCATCAGCGTCACTATCCGAATCATCCGCCTGGTCGAGACCCGGGATCCCGCGCCATTCGACATAGTCACCATCCAGCCAGCGGCGACTGCGCGGGAGGTGGTATGGATCGAAGGGGAAGTAGGCGTCGAGCTGGTAGCCCAGGGAATCGCCAGCGCGGATCTCGCGCTCGACTGCGCTGAAGCGCGGGTCTGCGAGGGTGGAGATGCTGCGGTAGGCCGTCACGCGGAGACGCTTGTTTGTCTCGAGGAGCGGGTAGACGTAGAGGAACTGGAAGTGGTGGGCGATGCGCGCGAACTCCGTGACGATGCTGGGCGAGCATACTTTCAGGGGGTTGAGGCGCGAGTAGATCACCTTGTGTAGCACCTCCTTGATATTCGGGGAGAAGGTTACTTGGCTCGGCTCTAGGTCGTCGACTTGCTCGGCGCTGTCGCCGTCCACGGCGGCGGTGGTGAGGTCGCGCCACCGGAAGCAGAAGATGTAGAGGAGGGCTTGCGCGGTGGAGTAGAAGGGCCCGTAGCGGCGGAGGTCGGGCCCGCGACAGCTACCTTCGTAGTCGGAGCGGAGCTTGTCGAGGTGGCTGAGGAGGAGGTCGAATACGTCCCGCACGACCTCCCCGGAGATGTGGGCGCCGCGGGCGACGAAGCTGGCTAGGTATGCGGCTGCGGATTGGCGCATGATCCCAGGCTGCAGCTTGTTGAAGATTAGGCCGATGCAGGTTGCGGCGAAGCGATCAACCAGTTCGGGCGAGCATTGGGAGAAGTGGAAGAGTAGGAACTGGGGGTGGCGGGATTTGTAGGTGGGGAGGATGATGGTTTGGAAGTGGCTCAGGAGGAGGTCGAGGGTGTTCTCCTTTTCAGCGAGAGTGCCAGATGTGAATGGGGTGTTGAAATACTCGAAGAGGACGTCGATCATCCCATCCACTTTCTGGATGTTTTCCTTGATCCCCTGCACGCGCTCGGTCTCAGCGTCGGCCGACTCATAAGAGGCATCGTCATCGATGTCATCCTCCTCCTCGTTCGCGTTCTCCTCATCAGCCGAGACTTCAAGTAGTAAATCTTCGCCGACTTCATCCTCGACGTCTTCCATATCCACTTGGATTTGGACATCGATTTTGACCAACTTCTCGGTGATCAGGGAGAGGATATCGGAACGGAGTTCAGGAGCGTAGGAGACGAGTTGAATGAGATTTTGTGTGTAGAAGATGTGGGATTTGGGCGAGTCCGTCTCGAAGGGGAATTGCTGAGACAAGATCGGGGACAGCGTGCCGCTGCCAGCGGGAACAAGCTTCATCACATGGCGCAGAGCCATATGGACACGCTTGTAGATTTCGGAACCGCGGACGGGCCCGTACCCAACGAGCTTGCCCGTCCCGCGAGGAACACTGCCGAGGTTGGTGGCCAGCATCTTCAGGATAGTACCCAGATAAGTACCCTGAGCGGCGGCCAGATTCCCCAGAAACCGGATGTAGAGCTTGACATAAGACTCGTCCCGACCGAGCCATTCGCTGTTGAGAACTGCCTGCACAAGGCCGTTGCAGGTCCGATCCAACGAGGCCACATGCGAGAGCAGCCCTTGGAGATGGTGTTTCAGAGCGGCATGCGTCGGTAAGTCGTACGACGCCATCACCTCGTCGTGGGCCTTTTTCGGATCCGCCGAGAAAATCTCCTTGATCCGGTCGTATGCCTCGCTGTCCGATGCAGAGACATGGCGGTGGATTGCCCTGCGCACCTCCTCCCGGACGACCGCAAGACTTTTTTCTGATGTGCCGGGGGGGGAATTATTTGGCTGATTACCAATCTCTCGCATCTCGACGTCGTTATTGAACTGGACGCGGGGCCGCTTCTTGGCCGAAGGGGCGTCATCGCCCGGATCGGAGCAGACAGACGAGGTGGGAGAAAGCGTCAAGTCCATCTCGTTGATTTTGCGTTTGACGCCGGCAGCCGCCGGTACGGACTTGGATTTTTTGAGGATCGACACGGGCGACGAAGCCGCTATCATTTTCGATTCGGAGTGTAGCGGTGTGGCCGTTACTGCCGGGTTTCGAGGAGCCGTGGCCAGAGAAACCATGACCAGCGAGGGATATGGATGAAATGACGAGGATATGCTATGCTAAGGATCGTTGATGGACATTTGCTAGTTCGCACTCGGGCATCTGGGCCGTCGGGAGTCGAACTGATGGAGGTCTGGTCTGAGCACACGACAGGTCGCGCGAGACTCGAGGTCTACCGTGGTGCTTCAGGGAAGGGGGAGACAGGGAAAAAGAAGCCGCATCTGTCTGCACCCGTGGCAAGCATCCAGTTTCTTCGACAGAGATCGATGAATCGGATGCAGACAGAGCCAGTGAGCACGTTGAAGCAAAAAGCAAAACAAGTCGAATTTTTTCCCTCACTCGAGTTGTGGGTCAACCCTGACGGCACTAACCGCTTTGGGGAACTACCATGGGGATTATGTCATCGGTGTCTCCTCGGCTCTACGGGGATGGCTTATTGTATGGTTTAAGGTAGATCAAGTGGTTTGTTTTTCCTGTTAACTTTCTCGGGCATGATAGTAGATATCCAACATCAACCACCGCTCAATCCAACACACAGAGCCAAACATCCTTGGAACCGAGAATGGCGCCGTCAGTCGCACAAAAAGAAAACCGCAGACATTCAATGATAGTAGAACGCGGGAACAGAAGAGACTCCTCCCATGGTATATGGTGCACCAAAACAAAATCAGATATCGTCAAAGAGGGAATAAGAGTGGGTCGTCAGTGGCGGCCGAGCGAAGAGAAGAAAATCCAGTCCTTCTAACAACAAGTCCGCGAGCTCGTGTCGTCAACATCACCCGCCTGGGTCAACCAGGACAAAATGATGAATCAAGTCGGGAGTTTCGTTCGTTACAGCCAGGCTCCAGTGCTGATGGGACCCAGTTGGTCGTCAAAGATGCTCCCGTAGAGTTCCTCGACTTCGGAGAGATAATCGTCCACGGAGAATTTCTTGAGGCCCTTGCGATGGAGCACCAGTTCCTCTTCATCGACCACGCGGAAGTTGCCGAATTCCTCCGCGACCTCGTTCACCTGCTCCAGTTCCTTGCCGAATGGGTGCAGCTCTGGGGTCTGTTGCGACACCCGTCCAGCTGAGTGGCCGGTCGGCACACTGGAGGGGGCGGGGACATGCGTGAGATGGATCGCTTGTGGGCCAGATCCTGGTGGGACCGTTTGGTGTGCGAGAGAGCCCGCTTCGGGATCACCGGGGCCTCGGTGGTGGACGAGGAGGAAGTTGACGAGCGCGGGTGACTGGTGACCGTCGCCGAGCGCTTGGGGAAGTAAGACGGGTTCGCCTCCACGGGAGATGTCTCACATGGCGACATATCCGGGGTGGTGATGGAGGAAGAGTAGCTGTGCGGAGAGAGGGCCGCGTCGGAGTCCGAACGCAATGATGACGATGACGACGAGCCAGCAGAGTTGAGATCGGGAGCGTTGTAGGCGAGCATATTCGTAGTCGACAGAAGCTGCACGGGGCCCGAGATGTTGCCGCGCTTTATAGTGCCCGAATTGAAGCGGACATGCCCGTCGGCGCGATATGGCATGGGCGCAGACACTTCCGGGCGCTTTGTGCGCTTGGTGAATGCGCGAGTGATGTTCGACATGACGGAATCGGGGATTTTTCACGGACTGCTAAATTTATCGCAGGTTGTGACGAAATCGGTCTCTCGCGTGGCCGACGATCGCAGGCGAAGAAGGGAAGGGAATGGAGGATCCGGCCAGGAATGTGCGGGATCGGATGGGCGGGTTGGATTCGGTCGAAATGTCAATTGGGGTGTCTGGCACTTTCCCAAAATGAATGTCAAGGTCAAGACCGTCGATATGTAGTTTTGCTCTGCAAAAGCTAGGAAGGCGAGGGTCTCCTTATTGCTTTTCCGTCCAGGGTGTAGCGAAGGAATGCAGCGGACAACCAGGACGCGCCAAGGGGGTAAGTTTTAGAAAGGGAAAAAAGGAGTCCAGGATCACAGATCACAGCATCAAGGACAGAGAAGAAAGAAAAGATAGAGAGAGAATGAAGGGCAAAGCCAAAACGAACGAAGGGCGGGAGAAGGAGAAGGAGAGATCAAACCGTGGAGCGACCGCGGCGCTTAGAGGTCGGGCTCCAGGGGGATCCACCATGTCCACCAGAGAGAAAACTTCAGTCTACAATTGACCCTGCGCTTGGTTACTCCTCCGAATGGTTCATCCCGCCAACCCTGGAAATCCCCCTCCCCGCTTTGCCTCCTTATTCTCGCCCAAGGGCCACTACGGGCAGGGGCAAATGGTTCTCCTCGATCAATCTAGGGCGACCTTCCCATTGTCCGAGGGGTGACTAGTTGTCCCAGGGGAGACGGTTGGTCCAAACTCTCCCCTCGTGGAAAATAATTAGAATGCGACGCCAGTGCCAAACTGATGCAATCCAGGCACACAGAATCCCTGGACTGAAACACCCGAACACACCCTCCCGGCGCTAAACTGCCTCGAAGGGCACGGATATCCTTTCGCCACCAACCACGTCCGTCCCCGCCCTGTTAGTAACGGACGCTAACTCCGTCGCCAGGGGAATTGGAGGTGCCTGATCGGCCACCCTGCGCGCGCCCACCGGCCAGTGATGGTGCATGCCGAGTGCTCCGTGATGCGACCGTGCGATGCGAGACCAGCACTTGCAACAGCGACCGGCGCCAGGACAGAGTTACCTCTTCGGTTCAGCTGGTGTGTCCTTGGGTCTGGCCGCGTGGGTGGATTCGGAGTGGGGCTTCGCCTGTACAATTCCTTGAAGAAGAGGGTCTGGACTGGACTGGACTGGACCGAGTGGAGGGCAGGATTTGAGAATGGCCACTGGAAGAAAATGGCCCGGTGAAGAGCGTAGTTTTGCACCAGGTTACATGAAATAATCATTATGGCGAGTGTAGCTTCAGACGCCGGAAAAACTCTCCTGCAGCGAAGAAAGACTTTTCTCGCCCAAGTCCCGTCGCCCAGTGGCCCACTTGGGTCGGAGTCCGGCCGTCCCAGATAAGCAGCGGGACGCGGGACATTTCATGTTTATGGACACACCAAACACACTCCGCGTCAGAAACGTATCAGAAGTATATACTAGGGTTTCTCTGCGTCAGCTGGCGCGCCGGCCCTGGTTCCGCTGCGGTTGGTTCGTTGTCCCTTGCAGCTGGAAGTGACCTGGCACATTCCCCCATATCAGACGGAGCCCGAGCAATTGATGCGGAAACCTCGCTAGTCACGGTGCCGTGTATGGCATATGATGAGGGTGAAGTTTCCAGCACGGGAGCATGCCGCCCGCGCTCTTCATGGCCACCTTCTGTGATGACCGTCTCTGGGGACAGATAAGAAGCGGAGTGCAACTGGGGACCTCCTAGACGACTCCAGTGGCGGGTCCCACCGAGATTACCTGGGGTAATCGGACCCGAATGAATATCTCCACCGGAGGCTACGGGAAATAACACCTCCCCAGCGGGCAGTTCAACGCTGAATTGCTCCGACATCACCGTCAACCAACGCTCCAGATCCGGCCATTCTCGTAGTGGAAGCTGAGACCACTCCTCCACGCGGGTAGCCTTTTGCTTGGGTGCAGTTTCGGGCTTCGGGGACGCGCGGATCATACTTGTGGCCTGCATTGAGCGCAGTGTCATGAGTGCTCCATATAATGCCTGCTCGGTCTCTGTTAATCGCTGCTCGAGTTGGTGAAGATAGCCCAGTGGTAGTCCCCTGCAGCAATGTCAACTTGATGTTTAAGCAGAGCTTGGGGTGCTTTACCTCTTCCCACTTTCTGGATAGGTGCATTTTGAGGGATCTCCAGTGCATTGTGAGCAGGATGGCCTATTGATTACCGATCAGTAAATAATGACCAAAGCTGTATTCTATCAGGCCATACAGCTTGCGGTCACACTAGTTCCGAAATTAGTATCAAGTCAGAGAAGAACTCGTGAGACACACATACTTTGCATTTTTTCTGTCTGCAACTCTCACAGGAGATAGGACTTGATTCTTCGCCCTCGGAGACTGAATATAGATCAGTCTTGGTTGCATTGCCAGGTGGTTGGATTGACTCGTACCCGCTGTCATGGCATCCGATGGCCTGGGGCGCTTGGAACGCGGACGCACCATCTTTTCGTATCGGATTGTGTCTTGAGCAAAATATGCTGGATATACCGCGCTCTTTAATGACTTCGTGAGACCTTCCTGTTGATTGAAAGGGAGTTAACATGCCGAGTTGGTTTCCGGACAAAGAAACCTCCGGGACTCCACGTGATCCCGAAGACATCATCTCGACAGGACTTGTTTCGGATGAATAATATCTGCGAAAAAAATGTGATAATGGAATCACATTCCCCAGCCAGTACCAGGGTCGATGAACACGAACCCGAATGGCAGTATGGACCCCGCGCCAAACGCCAGAAGCGAGCCTCAACGACAGGCACAACGCAGCCATCGCCCCGGGAGATAGGTTACATGAGAGAATCCCAACACGACGGCTCGGCCAGTTTTATTGGGAGCTCCAGCGGTATTCACTTTATCCGACATGTATACGATGCCTTTGCGCGGCGTTCTGCGGACCTGCATAGGTCTCGGGTCCGTGACCGGTGCTCTGTGCCGGGTGAAGATGACCGGCTACGAAGTGTGGGCGCCGATGAGCTATGGTCGAATCAGGAGTTAGACTTTTCAGAAATTTCCAATTACTCGTTTGATGACCTTGCCCGCTGGACGCATAGTTACTTTGAACACTGGCATCCGATATTTCCCTTCTTGCACGCACCGACGGTCCTCACGTCTATGGAGAAGGCCAGTCAATCAGGAATAGAAGCCTTAGGGCGGATCGAGATGATCATTCTTCGTTCCGTGGTTTCTATATCCCTTGGAGACAGCAGACAGTCCGGCACAGCCCATCTAGGACGCGTCCCTTCAACTCTAGTCTTTCGCACCGTTCGGCATATGATGCAAGACATACAAAGTCTCCTCTCAGAATCAACAACACTGCCCTTACTACAAGCTGCATTCTCCATTCAGCTCGTGCTCGTGTCACTCCTACGCCTCAACATTGCTTCCCGGGTAGGAGGCACAATTACTCGCTCCGCGTTCCATCTAGGTCTGCACCGCTGCCCGGGACGCTTCTCGTGCTTTCGCCACGAGGAGGCTAATATTCGACGGCGACTATTTTGGTCCATATATTGTCTTGAACGATACCTTTCCCAAGCACTAGGGATCCCGCTAGCCATCAGAGACGATGATATTGATGTCTGTTATCCCGGGGAAGAGACACATACTACAGCTACATCTAGAACGGATGGCGATCATCGACTGCGGCTACTTTGTCATCTTGCAAAATTCGCGAGAATCCGCGGCCTTGTGGTGGAACTGCGCAATAAGTCTATCTTACACAGCCACCCAAATTCCCTGGAAGCGGCGCGCGTCAATGGAGAGATGTCGCAATGGTGGAATGAAGTCTACGATGATGTGTACCCCGTCGACGATGACGGAGATACTCCTTCATTACAACTATACCATCGATCGCTTTTGATAATCTTGAAGAATGAAGCCATCATCTCCATGAATAGGCCGCTCCTCGCGGCCGAGAAACCCAGCCCTGAATACAAGAACGCACTGCAGACGTGTATCGAGTCCTCGCGGTCTTTGCTCTTGGAATTGAACAGATATAGGGCTTCTGCGTCCAGAGAGGAACAGGCAGGGTCGGATGCTCCACTGTCCTGGCCATCGTTTACTTGGGCTACATGGATGGCGTGCCTTATTCTGATGTATGCCTCGTGGGAAGGGGACTTTCCCGTCCCGTTGGCGCTCAAATATGCGAAAATGGGGATTAGGATTTTTGAAAATCTAGCGTTGCGTGGAAGTGGATGGCCGGAGACTTGCATCGAGGCGATCAAAGGCATGGAGTCTGCGTTATTGACTAGCGTGGACTCTTCCAAGAAGTCACAGAATGCAGTCATTTTGTCGAATCATCAGTCCAATCTTCAGTCTGTCGAACGCCTTGACATACCAACTCTGCGAGAAAACAGGGGAGGCAGCAGTGGTTCTCAGGGTGATTTGCCTGGCGGAGCGCAACTTCCCGAAACCTCCGTTACCTCACCAGACCGTGGAGTGGGACCTGCACAGCCTTTCAACTCGGTCGTGCTCGCCTCGCAAACCAACGCTGGCGACAGCTCGGTCATTTCAGACCTAACAAACCACGGATTCTCTTTGAGTGGGTATACTTCTGCCGGCCTTGTCTTTGGCAACACGGCCGACAGAGAGATGCCATTCTGCCCCTGGGCTGTGGGCGAGGACTCCACGCCCTTCCCAGACTCCTCTGTCCCTGACCTCTGGAGTGTCGCTGATGCGCCATGGATGATCCACGAAAATTTCCTATGATCTTGTAGCTATAGCATATCACAACTCACTTGTACAAAACCGTGTCAACAACTCTTCGTTCCCGATCAAGAACAACGCGCAACTGCCCTTTCCTGGCCGTCATATCCAAGCCAAAGAACCCATCCCGTAACTGGTCGAGATACAGCTCATACGCAGGCATATAGCCACGCACAAAATCCACAACCTGCTCATCCATCATACCTTCATTCTTGATCTCACGAAGGGCATGTTCCTGTTGGATCCTCCACTGGTAAACATTTACCAAATCGTTCGTGTCCAAATGAACAAGGAAATCTAAATGCTGAGGCCCCATGAACGAGTCACAGTAGTTTCGCAAGCTGTGGTTGGCCTGAACGAGATGTTCCAGTTTATGGTCACCCAGCGTGACAATCGGATACTCTGATTTCGTGACATTTTTCTGGGCATCTTCCCACTTTTTCTGTATTGTCTGCTCGTCCAAGGGTTGGAAACCAACACACCAGCCCTCGAACACGACAACATCTACCACTTCTCCAGCAGTAATACGAGTCCATGTCTCTTTAGGTGCTCTCGCGCCTTCGCCGTTAAACTTGCTCTTATCAAAGACTGGAATCAAGGTATCCTCAGATGTCTTTGTTAAGCTATCGAAGAAAGTAACTGCAAGCTTCGTGTCGTGTGTACCGGGCTGGCCGCGCGTCCTGAGAAGTTTATTTGATGCATTGTCGTTGCGCAATTGAACCAGATCTTCGTGGTCGAGATAGAGGTCGTCGAGAGAGAGATTGATTGTCCTAAGTTTGTGCTTCTCGTTCAATGCTTGCACGAGCGCGGAGGTCCAGGTGGATTTCCCGCTGCCTTGGAGCCCGGTTAGGGCGAGGATAAACGGGCGCTTGGTTTTTCCAGCTGGTGGTTCCGATTTCGTATGTTTTTCAATGTAGGGCAGAATGTAATTCAGAACTTGATCGATATTCTGGTGGGGAATCGTCATGGTTGCGGAGTTTGTGGCAATCAATTCGGAAGACGCAGCTTAAAGACAGAACAATGTCGATAAATGAGATCTGCGGATGGCTGTGCCTTTTATGCAGTTCTTCATTTCTCGCCCGAATGCCATCCTCGACACTCAACTAGGGCTGGTCTTGACCCACCCGGATACCGTACCCGTTAGTCTCCGGAGCATGTCAGAGCATCCCCGGATATGTCTTGCTCCTAGTGGGTCTTCCGGTGTATGAAACCTCCGAGATCTACACAATCATCGCGAATCGCCCAGTGTCTTTTCTATCTCACGGCTATTAATTGGTAGAAAGCTTAGAAAATCTGTTGCCACGGGCTTAATCCCGCAGCATTCGACAGACTTTAAAAACCCCCGCTAACCGTTTCTTTCGGACCATCTTCACGCAACACCTGGACCTACCAAGCTGCTAGAATGTCACCCTCTTCTACTCTCTCAGCCCAAAATACCTACAACATAGCTGCCATTCCAGCCGATGGCATCGGTCCCGAGGTTATCGAGGCTGGCATCACGGCTCTGGATGCACTGACCGACACCCTCCAAACGTTCAAATTGAACTTCACTCACTACGACTGGAGTTCTGAGACATACAAGAAAACCGGCAAATACATCCCGGACGGTGGCCTGGACGAGCTCAAGAAGCACGATGCCATTTTCTTCGGTGCTGTTGGGGCCCCGGGTAAGCAAAGGAACTCCTCGAGTTGTATACCCGGCTAAGAAATGACCGTAGATGTCCCCGACCACATCTCTCTATGGGGCTTGCGTCTAGCGATCTGTCAGCCCCTACAGCAGTACGCCAACGTGCGTCCAACGCGAGTCTTCCGCGGAACCGAGTCTCCGCTGCGCAAGTGCAAGACCAGCGATTTGGACTGGGTGATTGTCAGAGAGAACAGCGAAGGTGAGTATGCCGGACAAGGAGGGCGCTCGCATCAGGGAAAGCCATGGGAGGTTGCGACAGAGACTGCCATATTCTCTCGTCATGGGGTTGAGAGAATCATGCGGTTCGCTTTTGAGACAGCGCAGAAGAGACCGCGGAAGCTGTTGACTGTTGTCACTAAGAGCAATGCCCAGCGCAATGGAATGGTTCTGTGGGATGAAGTTGCCAAGTCCGTTGCTGAGGAGTTTCCGGACGTGACCGTGGATAAAATGCTGGTGGACGCTATGACTACGCGGATGGTTCTGAGGCCCGAGAGCTTGGATACTATTGTTGCTACTAACTTGGTAAGTCCGTATATTGTCATGATGTGGGTGTCTGGCTGATATTGT